GAGGACCTCCGGGAGGGGACTGGCGGCGGATGCAACTTGATGTGAATGAGGCGTGCGCCGTCCGAAACCGCGATTAACGGACGGGACCCCGAGTGTGTGACTTTTCCGTTAGTGCCTCCAGAGCATGAGGCCCAGTTTCGGGAGGACAGCACTTAACGGACGGGCTCCCATGGCTCCAGTGATTTGACGGCACTGTCCCAGGACCCAACAAGTTTCGGGAGGTTTTCTGGGAGGACCTTTGGGAGGGGTGCAACTTGATGTGAGTCGCGATTAACGGACGGGCTCCCGAGCGTGACCTGTTTCGGAAAAGACCCGTTTAGGACCGGTGCTTGAGCCTGTGGCTGCAGACAGCCCCGACCCAGCCTGACTGCCGAGGGGCGGCGGCAGCAGGCGGGAGCCTGGTTAATCCGGCTACACCCTGGTGCCGCCGCCCCTCGTCGCTTGGTCGTGATGCGTGGCCTAAATCCGGCACCTCTGCATCACCAGCTCGGGCTTGCGGTTTTGCTTGCCTGTAGGAAACCCTCGCAAAACATCGTGTATATGCAGGGTTTAGGCCATGTGGCTGACATCATTAGGGTCTGGGGTTGGGCCTGGGTGATGCTTCAGCGGGGCTTGGTCTGCATCATCAAGACTTCCTTCCAAAAAGCCTCTCAACCCATGAAGCACTGTTTTTAGAAGGTATCAGAGGGATATAAGCGAGGCTCATTTTCGCGCATTTTGGCGCCAAGCGCTGCCGGGCATGCCGGCGATGCTGGCTACAAAACGCTGTAAATACCCGCAAAAACTGCTGTACTGAGCGGTGGGCTGTTGTTCTGTCCGTTTTGCTTTTGCTGTGGCTGGCTCGCGTGCTGCGCGGCCCTTGCTTTTTTCACGGTGGTTTTCGGGCCTTCTGGCGCGCGCGCGCGACCCCAGCCACAAAACGCTGCTATTTACGGTGTTTTGTTGCATTTGTGTTTCCGGCCTGGCTTGCGGGCTGCTCTTTTTGGGCTGCTCTTTCTGGGGCCTCTGGCGCGCGCGCGACCGCATGTCAGCCTTCTGGGTTGGGGCCCGGCTGGGGCCAAGAAAGCTGGCATCCCCAGCATCATCTGGGGTTGGGGTGGGCAACATGCATAACCTAACCAGCCATATCATAGCACAGGATACGCTTCTCATACAAAAAACATGACATCACGTGGTATAACTTCAAAGAGGCGTAGCCGGCTAGAGGCCGCAGGCCCAGAAAATATAGTAAGCTCTGCCCGCCCCACTGTGGCCCTTTTTGGCTGCCGTGCGCATGTGACTCGCGGCGGTAGATGGTCTTGATTGGCCAGCGCTAAGCACAGCAATCTTTGACATGCAGAAATCGCATGCAGAAAGTACGAAGAATTGAGCGCAGGTGATTTCAACTTCGGTTTGCACCATCATGGTCCCTCTGCCAGCGCTTGCAAACAAGGTCTTTAGGACCAATGTCCGATGTAAGAGTCTCTGCCACAAGCTGAGTCTTGTTGCATAGAAATTCCAAGTCCGGCACTGGAGACAAGATGCGCCTTCTGCAAATGCCCTTAGACACGTTGTTCCTAGCTGTACTCCATGCTGGCTAGCGAATAGTCCAATGATGCAAAACCAGCAGCGTTTGCTTTACAGATGTCCATCCACATATTGCATAGCTTCGATCTGCAAAGACCCAACTAGCAGCAATATAATGCGACACATGAGATGTGTGGGTGTGTATTCAATTGTGGGATCCTTTCCTGGACATCGTTTACATGCGGATTCTGCCCGCCAACCGTTTTGACGGCTCCCCCATCCATAATGCTGACCATGTGTGTGTGTGTGTGTGTGTGTATGTGCTGCCATTCAAGATCCATATTCAAGGCGGTCATGCACAATGCCTGTGCAACCGCGGGAAGAGACGAGCATCTTGACGGCTTTGCGTTACCCAGTTGCCCAGTGGTTTCGAACAGGACAAACGGACACTCCGTTTAAGGTACAATGAACAACTCCAAGCCCTGGGGAAGTTAATCTTTTACAGCCATATAGCCCATGTTACCCAAAAAGTTGAAAAGTTGTGTTTTTAAGAGTAAGTTAAGGTGCAATGAACAACGGCCATAGAGCAACGAGCATCCGGGAGTTGGGCTTGACAACTTGACTCTTGAAACTCCAGGACTCGATGTAAAAAGAGGGCACGGAAACAACTTGGTGGTTCAAAAGTAAGCATTCGTGCGCACGGGACTCTCACCTTTCATTCAATTCACTGCACACTCCTGCAAATTCACATGGAACATTGACATGGAACCGACAAAAATGGTTTGAAACAGGCCTGCCCTCTTTGGGATCCCCCTGTTTTGGTCTGCACACCAATCTGCAAGGGAGTGGTTCAAGTCTACCAGCTTCAAGCCAACAAACAACCCCGGTGCAGACTCTTCAGCAGGTGTTTCGACGGCAGTGCCAGCCTGGGCAGAACAAAATGGTGACTCAACAGCACAAATTTCTCGCCGAGCAGGAGCAGGGGAAGGTAAGGATGAGAAGGTGAGCTGGAAAGGGACATGTTTTGCCACAATCCCGGAGATTTCGCCATATTATGAGACAAACATCTGGCACTCCTTGCATTTCTTCCGAGCTGAGGCGAGTGTTGCACGCCAAAGCAACCCATCTGCAGCTGTTTGCCCCCGCGTATTTGCCCTGCGGCTGTGGAAGGAAACACGACAGATTGGTGCTGTTGGCTTATTGATTTTGAGTATGTTGCTGTTGAATGGGAACCCAGCAAGCAAATCGTTTGAAGGGCGCGAATATCATGTCGATACCAGACAACTGGTCGAGCGCATGTTCGCCTACTTGGCCATGCGGATGCTCGTTGGCAGGTACTCATTCACTCCATAGCAGCTCTCCGTGACCGACAGGTTGGCAAGACTTCGGTACTTGTACCTCAAGCGCCAGTCACTGGGTTCAAACCACGTAAGGACTCACGTATTTCTTTAGGACTCACGCGCATTGAGAGCCCAGTCGAAATTTCCCCTGTCCTTCACCATGCATGATCATATCCCTCCCCCCCCTCCCAAATGGCTTCCGAAGCCACCATTTTGGAGAGCTGGAGCAAGGGGCTGGGATCCCATGATTGGTTCCAAGAAGCCGCAAGGGCCCTTGATAGTTAGATGATGTCCTTGGAAGGAAAGGAGCAAAGACTACACCAGGCGGAATTCAAAGAGGATTCTGTTTCTAGTCGTTTTGTCACCAAGGCACGAGGGATTGAAGGTGATGGAAACCACTGAACCAGGAAGTGTTCATCCTTCGAGAATGAACAAGAACACAGCGGAAGGCGAGAACCCGGGTGACCGGGCGACCAAGATCCATTGTTTTACGCTCGTCAATCGTACATGTCAAAATGGGATGTCCATGCTGGGAGCTGCTTGTTTAGAGGGAAACAACAGGAAACCGTCACCTTTCCCAGCGCTCCAAAAAAAGGGAGAACCCCTACAGTGTTGTTACAGGCAGCATGATTTTCCTCTGGTGCGTTTCTCCTGGTTGTCTTTTCAACTATTCAAATAGGCCCAAGTCTAGGACGTCCCACTTGCAGGGGTTCAATCATGCTGGATTCGGAAAGAAACGCTCTCCACTTGCTCTGAGAGCCAGAAAGGGCAGCAAGTTGAGGTGATATCAGTGATATCCCCAACCAATCAAAATCTCAAAGTCTCAGACCAGAAACTCCCACAGCCCTTCCGGAATCATAGCCCAGAACCGCTGGACCGCTCCGGAGCCTATCCGGGCAAAAATCCAAAGCGTTCATTTGCCGTAAAGCACAGAAACCAAAATGAAGCAACAAAGAATCACCTGAGTCATGATCAAAACCCTGCATTAAAATGGTCTACCCAGAACCGTGTAAAGAATTGAAAAGGCGGCCGCGCCCATTTATGGCTGGGATTGTCCCTTACTGCCCTCCACTTCACTTACCCGAGTTTTGATTGTCACGCACTCATGTCATAATGACAAGTCGACTTCACAAATACGAAGGCGATGTCACACACAGGTCTACCCAAATGTTTTCAGGAACTCGTAGCTCGTCAAAGCACGCACATCTCTGAGGAGCTTCATGTTCTTTCAACACTGACAAAATGATATGAATCCCAACTATCATGTTCCGGTGCACCACTTCCAATCTACACCTTCGCAATCGAACGCTTTCCTTGACTTGTAGCAAACACCCTGCGGATGCTGGCGCTGTTTGTTTGGAACATCCAAGGATTGGCTAAGTTTTAAAAATATTGTGACTGACCACCCCCAGAGTTGTGTAGTGAAGTTTTGCGGGTGAATTTGCCAGAAAAATCCCTCAGCAACAAAGCGGCCGTAAACAATAAGGATCGCACTTCCGCCCGTGTTGATCTTTGTCAGGTCAGGGAATCAACCCACTCACTACATGGGATCATTCATGGCAAAGGCGTGTCGTTCCCCCCAGACCTCCAGCGGCCAGGGAGCTAAGGTACCCGTTTTCTACTCGCTTTGGATGGGATGGGAAGCCCTCTCGAAGGAAAGGAAGTCACCCACTCAAGGTCTGGACCTCCCATCTTGCCAAGTTCGCCAGCTATTGTTCTAGGGGTACCTTCCCCATTCTTTCTGAAGGCAACCCAAAACCCGAGGGAAACAGCTGGTTTTTGAAAAGAACAATGGTTGAAAAGCATGGGGAATCAACCCCTAGAATTGTTCTAGGGCCATTCTAGGGTTGTCGGTTGACCCGCGATGGTTTCAAAGCATCGCCTCTTTGAAAAACAAACGGTTCGCCCGTTTTGCCAGGGTTTCTTATCGTTTTCTGGAAAGAAGGATCCCTGGAAAGAATGCGGAAGCTACCCTTGAAAATGGATCAAGATGGAATTGGACTTCCACGTGTCTCCTTTGTGATTCCTGTTTCGGACATGACGAACAAAAAACAACAACTGTCGAAGCCTACGTGAGGAAGGTCCCTCCTTCACATCGAAAGATCAGATCAGCCGGGACCCGGCGCACCATGCTTTCACCTGCTCCGTACGGGTCTGGTTGTACCCATACGCGGACGGAATGAGCTCCTGCGAATGTCAGCGAAGGGAAAATCGGAAAAAGGAGAAACTGCACACCTGCATGGCCCTACAGGTGGCCAATCTGCCAGATCCGAAGCCAAATAAGACCAGGTCCAGCTACCCTATGACCTATGGTAAACCAAACTAAACCAACAGAACACCCATGCACCTTGCATGAAGCGGATTCCAAGGAGGCTTCCCGCGCGTATGCCGCCATAGTGAAAAGAAGAAGCTCGAGACGTTCCTGGCCTACATGCAACATCCAAGATGACCTCCCTGCACTTGAAGACACCGTGGAGATTCCAAAATAGAAGACCTGCCAGCCTCGATCTGTAGTAACAAATCTGTCCTGCCGCTCTCCCGTGTGACCAACTCAAACAGAGTTGGGGTTGCTGACTTCCCTAACCCAGGAAACAAGCTGTCCAACTGACGATGGGAGAGGAAAACACCGCACTTTCCTCACTTCTGGATTTCAAGACTTTATCTCTTGGGCTCCTGACTAAAAGTAGCCCAACAAACCGAAGGGTGGAAGGTCGGATCTGGGCAAGTGAGTTTGACCAAGTGAGCCCAGATTCGAGTTTGTTTTCCAGATCGCCTTAACCCACAGCATTCAATGCAACATCAGAGCTGTAAGCCGGCCTCAGACAATGGTCAACTCCGTCATATACATTCGTGTGAGCTTCAGCATGTGGTTTAGCCATGATGGCAACAGAACAACGTGCTATCCTCTCTCAGACAAGGCCAGAAGAATGATTCGGTTTCCAGCTAACCTTGCGATGAGATCCAAGTTGCGCTTCTGTTTGAGCAAGGAAACAGGAACCGAGTCGGATCGCGCACAGTCAAGCCCCGGCAAGCCAACATCAGAATCATCTTTGATTCCACTTCTGATATGCCCCAAGACATGCAACAAACAGAAATAATTGAAACAAACAAAGTTATAAGGTCGAAAGCAAACATCCTGCATGCAAATGCTTGTTCCTCGCCCCATGGTCCAGAGCCACGGAGATCTCAAGTAAATTATTTCCTCCCTCCCTCCCGCGCTCCCTCGCTCCCGCCCTCCCTCCCGCCCGCTTCTCTTGGCTGCTTTCCCTGTACAGTGCTCAAAAGAGTCCACAAAGTATGCATGACAGGTTTATATAGTTCTAGCCTACACTCTTAGCAATGGTTGCCTTTGGTGACTCTCCACCCCCCTCAACAGAAAAGGGGACCAATACTTGACATTGCCAATGCACCGCCCCCCCCAAACGAATATCACGGTTCCCGTTGTTCAAGGAATATTGCTATTTTGAGTCATGAGAACATTTAGTGGTGACAACATAAAATAGCCAGGGAGACACTCACACCAGCAAGTAAGAATTCATCCTTGCGCGTTGAAACGTAGTTGTGCAGAAGCTGAGTGTCCCCATCATGGGTTGCAACAAATTGACACATGGCCCGTACGATGCGACACACATGGTTGTGAAGCAAGCTGGTGCAGCCTCTGTGAGAATCTATTTAGGCTCCAAAAAAAAGACTGCACAAATCACTAGATGTACGAAAGGACAAAGTGCAGCGGGCAGTTTGAGAAGCAAGCAAGTCAAAAAGAGTGTCACCTAGTGGGCAACAAATAGTAACTACCCCAAAATATATGCCCCTCAAATTTCAATGCATGGGTTGGTCCAGAGTCCCTCACAAACCCTTCACACCGGCGTGTACATAATATGGGTTGCTGGCAGTTGGGGAGCCTTCGGTCAAGAGAATGGTAATCCCCCAGAGACGCTATCAGGACCTGTGAGAACTCGGCAACCTATAAGAAACCACGCTTCATGCGTTTCCGGGCGCAAAGCTTTGCAAGATCGAGGAAACAAATGCCAAGCGTTGCTCAGGGATTCTGAATGCATGCTTCCTTTAAGCATTCATCAATTTACTGGTGGGGGTCAATGGAACTGCCACTTGTGAAGGAAAGGAACCTCTGTGAAATCATTTGCGGGTGCCCTTTGGAATGATAGATGGCTCTGATAAATGATTGGAACCAAGCTTCAGCCAGTTTGGATCCATCTATGTTCCACCAAACTGACTTTAAAGGCTACCCTCTATAAGAGGAATGGTTAGTCGGCTTTTGGGTTTAACACGAGGTATCTCAGGATGTCTCTTGCATTTGGCTGACCAACGCACAATTGTCCTATTTGGTGTTCATCCGGCTTGACAAACAGGAATCTCTCATATGGGGTTTGATCAATATTTCTGGGCCCCAAATAACCATGGGTAACTTTTCCCATGTGAGAAATATCATCATTTTATGGGGTTCCCCCATGTTCATGGGGCCTTTTGATCACTTTGATGGGGGGCACCCCCTGAAAAGTGGGTTGGTGCACATAAACCCCTAAATGATGTCCGCCATTTCGCCCCCCCCCCCCCGAAGCGACCGGCTCCTTGTGCCGCTGAGCCGGCGGCTGCTCTAGGCCCGCGCGCTCCAGGGCCGTGCTCAGCACGTGGATCCGCTCCTGCAAGCGAGGGTTGATCCCTGGCCGCGGACCAAACGACCTGCCAAAGCCATGGGACAATTCAGGGCCCCTGGGTTTGGGGGGGGGTGAGAGGGTGGGAGGGGGGAGGGGATGTATTTTTTTTGGGGTGGGAGGGGGGGGGTGAGTGGGAGGGGGGTGGAGGGAATTGTGTTTTATGAAGTTCCCACATGTCCCGGCCAGCCCTGTGACTACTTTGTCGTTTAAAGGGGGATTCCCATCGGATTCCCATGGTATCGATAGAGAAGAAGACCCTTCAAACTGGTTGTCCACAACCATGCCACCGGACCAAGTTGGTCCATGATCTGTAGTGCAGAAGTTTGAGCGAGAGCCTTTGGTGGACATGGTTGGTTGTGCCAAGTTCATAAAATTGTTTTGAAGAAACTGATTGCTCAACCCATAATGCGGCTTTGGGCCAACCATGCTTGTACGAGGCAACACCTCGATCACTCCTCAAAGCTCTGGGGACCTCAACATTTGATTGAACATGGTGAAACCATTGCTTAAACATCTTTTGGTTACAAGTAGGGGACAAGGGGCTGGTTGTTTACATGTTGCCCTGGTCCTTGAGGTTCACATATGTTTGATCTATGGAGGGTGCAATGATGCGTGGCTGTGGATGGTTTGACTGAATATGGGTGTGCCCTCGAATAGGGGAGCAATCCAAACAGTGCATGTACGAAATGGAACTTCAAGGGTACCTTCCCTCCAGCCACCTGGCAGCTACCTTCAAACGGATGTTGATCTTCCAGTCAGGCGCTATGTGCAGCTGCAAGCGCAAATGAATCTGCGTGTCCGTCCAGGTCCCATGCCATACCAAGGATACCATCGATTCACGCACAAAACCTCCCCTCCCCTCTCCCCTCCCCTACCCCCTCCCCTGCCTTCCCCTCCCTTCCCTCCCATGCATCATCTGCTTTTTCCCCATGCGCATCCCGAACGCCGACGGAGAAATCGGATGGCTCGGCTCCTTGAGGTCGCCCGCCTCCAGGGCGTAGGCCTTGTCCCTCTCCCGGTTGAAGCGGATGCCCGGGCCTCCCATTTCTGCGATCTCGCCCGGGCACCCGGGGCCCGGCGTGGAGGCGGAGGTCTGTTGGACAAAATGTGAGAGGGGCCATATCCAAGTTCCAGTTCTCTTCGAAAGAGATGGCGGAGCTCAAATCTTGATGGTCAGAGACTGGAGGCTCCGGAGGTGTCACTAGCAACGCGGCGCTTCTGTCTTGTTGTGTTTTTCTTCCTGAAGCCAAGAATGAACCTCTTCGCTCGCCATTCAGCAAGCCTAAACTAAGGCGCATGACTCATTTCTCGCTGCTTTCGCCTTGGGCCTTGCACTCTTACATCACATGTTTCTTGCCTCACCTCACCACACAATTTTCTAAACAAATGATGCACAATCAAAACCTGGTACTATCGAAGTCTACCTGAAAGTATGCAAAGAATCAAACATGCAAATATATCCACACCTATCTATGGCTGGGATTGCCTCCTTACTAACATTGACCTGCCGGGGTTTGGATTGTGGCTCAAATGGCATTGACCGCCACCTGTCGGAGGCCACATTCTGGGGGAATCAGAATCTTCCATGGAGCGAGGTGTGATTGAAGTTATTGACGTGAGTTTAGTAAACGCGGCTCAATTGGTGTTTTGATGTTGCACTCAGGAAGGCCTTGTATCGCAACTCCCAAGTAAGGAACGTTCATCCAGGCTGAACTCACTTTACCCTCACCCCGCCACAATGTCACAACCCTAAGCGATCCAGTCAGAACGAAATGAAAGCATCCTTCACGAGCGAATACCAATCAAGCGAAACTCAGGGACTTTTCCAAGGCTCCAGTTCTCTGGCTGCCCACACTTGGACCCACCCGCTTCAGGCCGTAATTAATACGATACTCTAGATCGTTGCTATTGGGCAAATTGCTATTTACCCCACGGACATAAGGAAACCCTGGGGTTGTTGAAAACGCCCGAATGGCAGTAATGATTGGTTTGCGGCATTTGTTAACTTTAGACTGACATTTGCATCTGCAACCGGATTGCAACAAGACCCCCCCTAAAACAAAGTGGGGCTGTACCAGCATCTCCTTGCAAGTTTACATTCCTCGGAACGGGAACTTAGAGTGGGCAAACGTTATAACTTCTGAAAAGTGCTACCAAAAGTTACGAACCCCTACGAATGGCTGGTTTGCCAGGAAGCTTTTCCAACATCAAGCTCTTGCTTCTGCTCCCGCAAGGCAGAACACAACAAATCTCAAAATCGGTTTATAGTATATACTACAGAAGACTACTGAAATGTTCAAAACAGCAACAAGTATTGAACATCCAAGTAGCTTTTGCGTATGTTCCATCTCCGGCCTGTCTGCTTCATCTCCGGGGTGAAGGTTCCGACGTCACACTCCCCCGAGTCCAGGTAGTAGAGAATGCCCTGGCGCGATCCAATGCTCATTGTTGTTTGCTTGCTTGCTTGCTTGCCTGCCGGCCTGGCTGTCCCTGTCTGTCTGTCTCTGTCTGTCTCTGTCTGTCTCTGTCTGTCTCTGTCTGTCTCTGTCTGCCTCTGTCTGTCTCTGTCTGGACGTCTGGACGTCTGGACGTCTGTCTGTCTGTCTGTCTGTCTGTCTGTCTCTGTCTGGACGTCTGTATGTCTGTCTGTCTGTCTGTCTGTCTGTCTCTGTCTGTCTCTGTCTGTCTCTGTCTGGACGTCTGTCTGTCTGTCTGTCTCTGTCTCTCTGTCTGTCTGTCTGTCTGTCTGTCTGTCTGCCTGCCTGCCTGCCTGTCTGTTTGTCTGTCTGTCTGTCTATGTCTGTAGTATGTCTGTCTGTGTCTCTGTCAGTCTGTCTGTCCGTCTTTCTGTCTGTCGGTCCGGCTGTCTGAGGTCTGTTTGTTGTCGTTGAGTGTTTACGGGTGTGTCTGTGCGTGCGCGTGTGTGCATGTGTTTTTGCGTGTGCCTGTGTGTTTGCGTGCGTGTGCCTGTGTGTGTGTAAGAGTTTGTTTGTGCATGTGTTTGTGTGCTTGCCTTTGCGCGTTTGTGTGTTTGTGTGTGTGCTTGTGTGCTTGTGTGCTTGTGTGCTTGTGTGTGTGTCTGTGTGTCTGTGTGTCTGTGTGTCTGTGTGTCTGTGTGTCTGTGTGTCTGTGTGTCTGTGTGTCTGTGTGTCTGTATATTGTGTGCTTGTGTGCTTGTGTGTGTGTCTGTGTGTCTGTGTGTCTGTGTGTCTGTGTGTCTGTGTGTCTGTGTGTCTGTGTGTCTGTGTGTCTGTGTGTCTGTATATAAGTGCGTCAGTGCGTCTGTGTGTGTGTGTGTTTGTGTGTGTGTTTGTGTGTTGCGTGCTTGTGATTGTTTGTCTGTGTATATCTGTCAGATGTGTTTGTTTGACTGCTTGTCTCGCTCTCTGTGTGATTCTTTATTTGTTTGTCTGTCTGTCTGCCTGTTTGCTTGGTTGTTCGGAAAACAAAACAACAAACAATTTACGGTATGTTCACTTCTGGTTCATCTGATGAATGACTGGCGTTTCTTTTGGGCTCGAGGTCGTCTTGCTGTCTTTGAGCTTTACTCTCAAGGACCCAAACGCGTGAAATCTGGTAGGTAGTTCATCGATGCCAACCTCGTCGCCGGTAAGATCTAAAGTGCTCCAACCAAAAGGTGGTTGCTTTCATAAGGAATCTTTGAGGGCCCCCCTGTAGGTCCCTCAAGCATAGCCCAAATACTCTGAGGGTTTTTGTATTACAACCTGGAATATATTCGGTATTGACCCCACTTAGGCACATTTCCGGATAAGACCGTGTTATTTTAAACCATTCCAGTGGTGATTTCCCAAGGGTGTAATCCCAGGGTCTACCAAAACCTTCAGAAATACGGCTTGGCTACAGCTTAAACGGCCCCGAAGCTTGCGACACCTTTGCCAAAGGGGCCCCCTCACGTGGCGGACCCTTGATCCCTGCCGATAGGACAAATATGGGAGGAGGTATGGAGGCTACCTCTCATGTCGTGCTTGCGCAACCCCAACCTGCAAATGACCCCATTGAACTTTGGGCACCTCTGCAAATTGAAGCCTAGTCCCAAGCTCAACCAGTTCTGAAGGTAAAACGTGACAGTCAACGATACTTCTTGAGGACGCGCACACACCGAGGCGCACCTTTCCGTTGGGCTTGCCGTGGATGTCTAGTACACCAGCGTAGAGATTGCCGCCTGTGCAGCCTCAGGCGGTGTAGCCTTACATGACACACCCACATGAGAATAACAAACAAGGAACCAAGGGGTGCCCGTCTTAATTGGTTAATTGGTGACTTATCGGACATCTCCCTGACACTTCCCCCCAAATTGTCTGAATGTGCCTCCCGAGCTGTTTGTCTGAATGTGTCTCAATGCTTCTGGTCAGCCCATCTCGGACGGAAGAAGAAAAAGCACCAGCAGCTGCTGTATGAGCAAAAGTCCAGCTTTATTGCTCATACTGCACGAATTGCAGGTTAGCAACACCAAATCTGCGGGCCCTCTCTTACCACAAGAAGAAGCAAACCCAATGATATGTGCATGCATTCAACAAAAGTGTTGCGTTTCGAATGTACACCGCAAATATTTAGCACCCCTCCAACAAGAATTTCGTTGCTGAACTTCTACTATGTGGAGAGTTGGTGATTGTTAGAGGCCCATCGTCTCAGAAACAGCAAGCCAACTCTCCCAGTGGACATTGGGATAAGGAGCACGGAATGAGACTGTTCTGAGCTGCTGCTAGGCTTCGAGGATACACTGCTGATCATGTGCGACCGAGTCAGACTAAAACCTGCAGTCATACACTCCCCGGAATTTAAACAGGAAGCTCCGAAGCTCTTGTTTTTGCAGGTTTGTCAAAAGGCCCATGTTTTGGATACTCCTAACATAGAAGTCCCTGTGGTGTTTTTGGTCGACTTCGGCATTTGAGGTTACGAAGCTGACTTCCGACGATGATTCGGGCACCGGTTCCCTCAAACCCCCCAAACCCCCCCCCCCCCAACACAAACCGAACCCCCCCCCCCCAACCACACCCCTTCCAGAACCCCACCTAGGTACGACGTACGACTGGTACAGGCAAACGACAAAGCCATGCCTAAGTCACTCCTTTATCTCTGTGGCCATGTGTTCCCCCATGTAAACGCCGATTCCAAGAAGTCACTCCTAAGTCACGCCTCGGCAACAATCCCCATGGAACGCTGGACATCACCGAGCTGGTCATGCCAAAAAAGCACAGGTGTCAACACTGAAACACAATGGAACGCTAATGATGACAAAACATGTTTTCTAGCCCCACGAGGCGTCTGCAGGAACATGAAAACCAATGGAACGCTGAGCATACGATAGGTTGCTGCAGGGGCGTTTAGGAAGACATGACGCAATGGGTGGCCTTTGCCAGCCCTTGCACCATCTTTTTCGCGTCCTGGACGAGCTCTTTTCTCTGGAAGGCAGGCCGGCATACGCGCAATGCAGAATAGAATAGCCATTTTCTACTGCAATGCCTCCCAAAAGCCTCTCCCTTCAAACATGCAGAGTTCCTATGCGTTTTGGAAAAGGCACGACTTCTTCGAAACCCTCCCCCCATGGAATTTGAGCAATGCCTCAAACGGAGGCACGACTTTGTCAAATCCCTGTAGCATGTGGGGTGAGATTGACTCGAACTGCAATTTTTAGCATTAGCGGGCGGACACACCGTATTTTTTAAGATTTTAAGCGTACCGAGAAATGCTGGTTCACTTTTCTCAGGAATATGCGAAACTGCTCCTAACAAAATCATAGTTTCCCTATCGACCCCCGAAAAACAGTAGGGCAAACGACGACTATGTTAGGACACTCTTGTTGGTCAGAACTTGCGTTTTCACTCACGTTTTTTTCTTTTACATGGAAGTGCAGGCTCGAAACAGGTTCCCTCAAGAATCTAGGGTTCCTGAAAAAATCCCGGGATTGTCGTGGCGTGGGGTACCCTAGGTAACTTCTATGTTAGGAGGTGGTCGTACATTCCCAGCAAAAAAATGACAGGCATTTCCCCGGAAAAAGACGGTCGAGGGACTTCCATGTTAGAGGGACCTCTGAGAGCACGGACTTCCTGTTTAATTCCAGGGAGTCTAAATGAATAACACACTTCAATTCTCTAATACCGTGTCAACAAGGGAGGATGCACCAACTGAGCTCAATATGGCTAGCGGAACGGAGGGCGAAAACTGAACTACGCCATGCGCCATGGCATTTATTGAGCATTAATTTCCCCAATGTCAGGAAGGCAGCAACTTGCACAACGTTGTGTTACGATTGTTTGTCTAAAATGCGCATGTGGGGAACAAGCAAATTTTCAAATCTACAATGTGTTGGTTTACTAGCAATACTTGGCTGTGTGTGTGTGTTGACACCCTTATCCCTGCCTAAGCACCCTCCAAAGCGTTGCTGTAGTTGCCTTTTAAAAAATATTCCATACCCACGGTGACTCATGGTGATACTTCCCCTTTTCAGCGGTCCGCGTTTTCTTCTCGCATCGAGCTGTCAGAGCAGTGCAATTTCAGCGCCTGTGCAAGGTGTCCAGCATAGCCCAAGCACTCAAACGAGCGTATTCGCAACTGCGGGCTGGTTCGAGAGGTGCTGCAAAGCGGAGCAAGAAAGGTACTGCAAAGCGCAGCAAAGAGATGGACAGAATCTGCCATAGTTGTCCTGAATTGTCCAACCTTTCAACATCATCATACCCAAAAGGCAACCCACTTCGATTTGGCCCAAAAGGTGCTGTTTGAAACCACCAAAAGAGGAACATTGAATACGATTCACACAGATTTCGTGGGGGCTCCATTTTGTTTGAGGTCGTATGGTGTGATTCCTGTTGAAAGGCTGCATTGCAGGAGCGTCACTGGTAAACACTGCCTTGCTGGCATGGGTGACTTCTCCCGAATTCACATGCTAACTGGTAAACTTAAAAACACTGTAGCGTCAAACACTGGCATCACTGGACGTCTTGGATTCGCAAACCCTTGGAATCGGAGTCTGTGGGAAAATCGTCCCGGCCCATCCTTCGCGCTTCGCGTATGCATCCAGGAAGTGTATGCGAGAAGCCTATGAGTACTGGGATGAGCACCGGCGAATTGGTGCAGAAGCTTGTCCGTCCACAATGCAGTTGGGTGAAAGTAAATGGCAGACATTTCAACCCATTTTGGTGTAGCCATCCCCTTTACTCAAAGGGAATTGCGCCACATGCTTTCATCCCGGTGTAGGTTGGAGGCTGAATGAGCAATCACGCTCTCATCACTGCCAGTGACCGCACAGTCAGCTCGTTCAGAAATTCTGCGGCCAAGCCTTGCGAGCCTGGCGTTGGCGGCCGAAAGCAACCAACGGGATCCGGGATCCGGGCTGGGAAACCGTGCGTTTGTGAGGCTCGGCACCCCTTTTTTGGTTGGTTTAAAGGACAATTAGGGAAATCACCTTGGAGCCTGAGGCTTCCCTCGTTCGACTTGGAACCTTAGTGGCTGAGAGTGGCCTGTTCGTGCCACTTGTGACTAGTCCGGGAGTAGAACCTTTCAAGGCGGTGCCATTATTTTCCCAAAGGAGAAACCGGGAGTCATGTTGACAGACAAATAAGCCCCTGGTTGATTTGTAGGGGCGTCCCTTTCAGTGGGGATGCATCAGTTTTGGAGGGAACACCCCCCGAATAATCCTGGCAAGGACGAAATTCTGCACCACCTGAGAAATGTGGATTGATGATTCCCCTGTAAATACCAAGCGAACACTGGTTCCCCATGGTTTCAAAGTGGTGCAGGGTTCCGTCCATCCACAGTAGGGCGGGTTTATTACTCCTGGGGTCCTGCATGAGCTGGCTTCTACCCCCAGATTCACGCGCCCACGACATCAATTTGACAGATCGGTGTGCATGCATGAACCCCTCTGAATGTCATAAACCATGAAGTGGATGTCAACTGGACAGTGCTCCATTCCAACCCTTTCTTTGCTTTGGCAAGTTTTTCTACTTACCCACATGGGAGTTGTGTACATGGAACCCCCAGGCAAAAAACGGCTCCCGGATCGCCCGGCCCGGCCTTGCTCACATGCCTGGAGGGCCGTGATGCAGGTGGTCAAGTCGCCGCAGATCCTCTGCGTCACTTTTGGAACCGAAGACTTGCTGGTTCTCAGCTGGGAATGACTCGGAATGACCCCTACAAAACACCATCCCCTAGTGGTTTCCTTTAAGGGAATATGCAGGTTCATTCCCTCCTTCTCTGAGCAACAGCAAGAAGATGGGGTGCGTGTCCCAGTTCCAGGCATAGCGGTCTAGGGAAAAACGTATGTGGAAAATCTCGAGGTAAGTGCAGTAAGGAACCCCAGTTACCTGCGGCAGCAACTGAAAGCACTAGGTGTGGTTTCCCTGTTAACCAAAAGAAGTCGACCATAACACTCTGCGAAGTCCATACAGGATTTGTCTCCAAGACAGGCACCCCAACGATAGGTGACTTTCCTCTCATGCCAAAAGGGGTGCCCTCAAAACACAACACCCTGAATGACACATGTTGGCAAATTCAAATTCCCTACACAGGGGAATAACCAGCCATGATAACCAAGTGACAGGGAATTTGACCATGGTCCATATCACCCATGTGTTTTTTTTCCCAAAAACAAAGAAGCGAACCCCTTCAATTCAATATCTACGAAGGTGCCTCATTCAGGCTCGACGCTTCGTCAGTCAGCTGGAATATATTTGAAGCCTAGAGCCAAGAGGGGTGATGTTTTGAGGGTGCCCCTTTTTGTTTGGTATAAACGGAAACCAAAAGGAAACCCACTATGTTGTGCTATTGTTTTGGGGGGCTGCCTAGAAACAGCCAGAGTCAAGGAATTGAGTATTCCAAGTGAGCCCACCTCTTCCCGGTCCTCCTGTGCATCATCTGCCCTTGTAACGCCAGAGCTTGGCGCCACTCGCTGGCACTTTGCAGCGCCCGCAAGGCGCTGTTGTAGCTGATGGTGTTCGGCTGGCACCTGGCATCCTGCATCGCCTGAAGGAGAGGCTGTGGTGGTCAAAAATCAGGTGACCCCAAAATGGGTTGCCCTGGATGGAAACATGAGCTAAAATCTGCGGTCCAAGTCCATTCGTGGTTTAATTTGACCCATGCCCATGTCCAACAGAACTGCCAAACGTATTTCATGGTCTAAAGTGAACATTAAATGCAAGATAGCTTCAAATGTAGCGCAGATGGGGCCCGGATAAAACAGGCTGGTGCACCTAGCTCGCCAATATGTTTGAAGTCGGTATTGATCGAATCTATTTCGGCTTCACTTCCGAAGTAGAAAATCACAACATTCTCAAAGGTGAAATACACACTGGTCGCGGACTAGAAGCACCGGGATCCCAAATTTATGCTTCGCCACAACATGATCGATCCAATATTCTCAGCCGTCCTCAGTCTCCGGGTTTTACATTTCATGTCCATGATTTGGAAGACCCAGGAGTCCAAAACTCAGAGTCCGTCTTTGACCCTTGGGGCTCTTTGCCAAATCACCGAAGAGTCGCCGCAAGCGTCTTGGCGCGGACTCAATGCGGCGGGATGCCCACGGAAACAGCGCAACAACTGATTCGCAGAACTTGGACGCAGAAAAACCGGTCAGCTGCGCGAAATGGAGATCGAAGGTCTGTCGGCATCTTTACCAGCGCGTTTTGGAGATGTTATGCCTATGTTGCAGCTGTTGCAGGACTTGCTCGCTCATCACGTTGAACTTCGTGTGTTTTCTGTACGGGCTGCAACTCTTCACTGCAAAAGGAGCTCTCCAACTTGGCATCTTGGACAGACTTAATCCTGACCGCTGCAAAAAGAAAAGACAACCATGGGCTCAAGTAGGCTGGTTGTTCATATGTGGTGATCCCGCCTAGTTGGCAAGCCATCCTAGTCAGCGATTGTGTTAGTGTCTACGGGTACGCTCTAAATATGGTACTCTGCCAAGGCCGTAGCTTTCATAGCGTGGTGTTGTGCTGATGCATTGTCTTTGCAACCAGCATGACGTTTGGAGTAGGTGTTTTCTAGATGGCGGTCTAACGTGACAGCTGAACGGATTCTGATATGATGCATGAAACATTCGTAAGTTTGTTGTTCTGAGAATGGGTGCGTACATGTGCAGGTTTGTCAGGGCTGGGGCGGTTTCTGCACGGGCCCCAAGAGGTCATGCCCCAGATATTGACCATGTCCGACCTTTGAGTTGGTCAAAACCATTGCCTTGCCATCGCAGTACGGTTGGTGTCATGTGTGCAAGGCTGGTCAGTTTTTGCTGTGTTGATATGCGGCTGGTTTGTTTTCGGGGTGAGGTGTTCTTAGTACGCCCTTAGCGGTTCTAGCAAAAGTATGCCCAAGCTTATAGAACGCAATTTGTCAACGTTGCAAAAAACCGCTTGTGGTTGATCCCACCTCAAGGAGACTGCTTATGAAGCATTTCATTTTGCGCAAACATGCTCCAGACGCACACCACTGCGTGAGAATCATACGGATACGGTGCTGCACAGGCCAGTGCCCACGGAAACTGGTCTCCTTTCAACCTGAAAACTCTTCGCGGTTCCCTTGTGCCAGAAAGCTAACAGCAAGGCCTGGCCCTGTTTCATCCAATGTTGTCCGAAGAAGCAGAGCGAGTTGGTTGCCAGGAAAAGGGCCCTCAGGTCCGTTAGTCATTGCCTTGCCGCATGGGCCACAACAGGTGTCCTCTAGACATCCCTGGACCCCCAAACCAGCACAAGTTTGCAAACCCTTCTTTCCAGCAGTTTCTGCTCATACGAGCACTTTTTCCTTATTCGAGCACTTTTTAGGAAAAAGACGAAATTCGAGCAGGAATCAACCTCCATGGGATTTAGATGCTTTGGAGCATGTGAGTTGCTGCCAGGGCCCACACTCTCCGCGTAGCAGGGGGTTGCTCGAGTTGTGCTGTTCGGGCAACAAATGCGTGTTTAGTGGAAGCCTAACAGCGTTTTGGCATTTTGGGGGCAGTTTGCAACCCGCAACCTCGAGTGCAATTTCCCGCAACTCGAGACCAATTTCCCGCAACCGAGCGCAATTCTCAGCGGGTCCTTTGTCCGGCGACAAAGCGCAAATATATCCAGGTGCTCGAAAATGAAGATGCGCTGTCCACTGTGCACTCATGTGACATATTGAGGCACGCTTGATGGGGTTGTGTGAGGTTTGGCGACTCCAACATGCAGTGATGCGCAAGGGCGCTCACTCGAGCACGTATTTGGCCTCGAGCGCATTTTGCCTAAACGAGCGCCTTTGGGAGAAACGGGCACTTTTTCCCTCGAGCGGAAATTTGTGCTCGTTTGGGGGTCCAGGTCCTGAAAAGCGTCTCGTCACAGTTTTGCCGTTTAAACAAGTTTAAACTCCTTTCTGAGTTGAACCAAGCTCCTGCACTCTCGGCTCTGAACAACTCGCTTTCCTAACATAGGGGACCTTCTTTTGAAGCCGGTGTCGAAGGGAATCAAAGGTTCCCCACGAGTTAGGGGGGGCTAAGGAAAACGCAGCCTCCAGATCTTGGGTAAAACATAAAGTTATGGGTGTCGCTCAAACTCAAGCACTCAGCAGATTTTGTTGCTTTTAGAAACTAGGGGTTGGCCTTACTTTGCGTGGACAATTTCCTGCAGTTGGGATGAATGCCCTACAAATACTTTCTGCTCAACCACAAATCCAAACTGGTGCCGATCGGCGTGAAATGATTTTGGCAATCCGCTTTATGGTCGAAACTTCCAGGCGAACCCCGGGTGTGTGTTTCTTTCGAGGGTACACATTGGGGGTGTAGCTTAAAGGAAAGTCTGAAGGAACGCCACAAATTTGTCGGGTCCAAATCCCTGTGGCACATACACTCAGACTGGCATGGAAGCTCCCAGGCCGCTGCAAAAAAAAAAGGCGAGCCTTCCATTTCGGCGTGGGCGCCTCCAATGTTAGTTGGACGTGTACCCCGGCAGCCCCCGCCTCCAGAAGCCTCAAGGCTTGCCGCCACTGGCGGCACTTCTCCGCCGCGCTGATGGTGCCGCTGTAGCTGACCACATCCGGCCGCAGCCTTCGGCGATTTCGAGTGCAACCGCTGACAGGAAATGGCAGAAGAATTGGAGCCATGTTGCTTCTTTGGTTGACTCCGTCTTTTAGCGGGAAACTCGGAAAGAAAAGAAGGGGGCAACACTTTCGTGCTTTGGGTTGGTCCAATTTTGGTGGGAACCCGAAGGTGGAATCCACCGAACCACTGCACTCAACATGGGACGAAATCAATGTTCAAAACCTGATACGAAATCAATGGGTTCATTCCCAACCGAACGAGGCAATGGGGATTTGGCAGCATCCATGGGTTTCGGGAGGCAAAAAACCAATGGTTCAGAATAAAGAAAACGGGGGGGACACCTGCCGCACCCATTTTGTGGCTGGGACTGTTCCCTAGTCCTGCAGCGACCTTGGCCTTCATGCACTCGAATTTGCGCCTTGCGGATGGCCTTTTCAGGGAAATGCTGGATGTTGCTAGTGAAACTGACAAGAAACCCATCAATTCCAGGAGTTTCAATCTGAGTCCACAATCTGAGGGTTAGTGGAGAATGGAGAATATCTGGAAAGTGGCTTGTTTACCCAGGTTTTCCCTGGACAAAAGGGCACTTTCTCGAGATTCTCCTGTAACTACACCTTCTCACATCTTCTCACATGTGAGAGATCGCAAACTATGACTCGCCAAGGCAGTTGGCAGGCTTCTGGTTCCACCAAAACAGCCAGAAAAGGTTCACTTGAGTTCAAAGGTCGGTCTATAGAATAAACCCGAATCAAGAAATCAGTCGACAATTAAACAAACCATCGCGTGTGAAATACGCAAACCTGGCTCGGTTCACAGACCCTTCTTGGAAGACTGCAGGTTCCCATCTTGAAGAGCAACCCAAGCGCCGTCAATGCCCTCTGCCATGACACTCTCCAAGGCTGCCTTGTTTGCTCTGCTAAGACTCTTGGTCATAGCTGTGACGGACATGCTTGTCCAGAACCTTTCTCCTCACGCGCTAGGCGGGGCCAAGATCCTGCCAATGCGCCTCAAGTTCTTTGCTTGGACGTGCCCCAGTGTCAATTATGTGATACTCCATCAAAGGTGACTTTGACGCTGCGTTGACCGTAATTCTCTCAAGATGCCGCGTTCCATGGACTGGCTCTGTTCCGTGTTTGCAGAAGCGTATTCCTGGACCTGCGTGTAGGACAGCTTCGTTCACCAAAACTAGCGCAGTGCCGGCGACAAAGGGAATGAGATCGAAAGACCACGCTGCGTCCTTGACGCCCTGGCCATACAAGCCGTCGAGTGTTTTCTGCAGGGCTGAGTAGACCAAACGCTTCAGCTGCGACAACGCATTGGTATCATTTGCCATCTCCGCCAATACAATAATAACAGTTTCAAAGAAGTCTGGTGGCGCAATGGCTAACCAACTAAGTTCCGTCGTCATTGTCATGTAATGTCTGCCTCGCACACCATGAACGCCAATCCATGTACCACTAACACAGGAATGGAGGAATCTAACGTCACTCTCGTGCCATCTTTGTGGAACCGGTGCACTTGGTTGTCGCTGACCATTCTATCAGCAATAAATTTGCTCGCAGGGTTGTTCAAAGGGTCAGGATCCAGAGAACCATGCACCATTGAATAGGAGACAGGCTCATCAACATTCCGAAGGAGTTCGCTACTGTGATAGATTCTCCACCTGGGCGCACGGTGGAGTCGGGCAAACACAAAAAAACAAGTTGTTGTCCAGCGAGCAGCAAAGCGTGCACCAATCGTCGCACATGTCTTCTGCAGAAACTTTCGCGGCAGCCAACTCATTCATTCTTCGAAGCATTGTTTCTGGAACCAATCCTTGCAAGGAGGTGTGGAGTACTACTGGGGAGAAGTACACATTCCGAATAACCGAGGGTTCGGCTGATGAATCGACAATGGCAGCCAAGCTTCGAAGCTCTCTGTTATTCCGCAGAAACCGCTCCAAAACCGCTTGCTGCTTGGCCAGAAGTAGCTCCTGCTCTTCAGCTTGGTTCATGCCTTAAGGCTTGAGCCAGAATGGCCTGAGCCACATACTGTCTAATTCTTGAAACTCCTTGGTGAGTTCTCCGCCAGATCTGGAACAACTTGAATAGTCACATCAAGCCACTGTTACAGTAAAACAGCTGGAGAGGATGATAGTTCTATCTTTCGGAAGTCAAAGATACCAAATCCGCAACATGCTATGGACCTGGTTGATTCTTGCCCCTTGCCTTATTTCATTTGAACAAAAAATAAGAGAAACACAAACCCTATGTGGCGCTCCCGTCTTGCGTGGCTCGCGCGAACCATTTTGCTAAGGAGACTGACCGAGAGAGACTGAGAAAGAGAGTGAGAGACTGACAGAGAGGGAGAGAGAGAGAGAGAGAGAGACTGAGAAACACTGAGAGACACTCACGAACACGTGCCCTCCCTGACAAGCTGGAGATTTCCAAACGGCATAAGAGGAAAGCACTCACTGAAACAAGCGCCCTCACTGACAAGCTGGAAATGTCTAATCTCCATCAGAGGAAGGCACATGAAGGCACTCACTAATGCTCTGCCTAATGCCAAACATAGCATCTGCGATTCGTGTCAGTTTTAGTACACTTTCGGGCCATTCACCTCCCCGCCAACCCCCCCCCCCCCCCCGCCCAAGTGGCCGAAGCCCACGGTCGCCAATCGCGCCGTAAGCTAAACCAGAAACAGGGAAACATCGAGAAGCCACGAGGGAGCCAGGCAGAATCCAGGTAGAATCCAAGTAGACCCCGCTTTCAGGAGCTGGGGACGTGGAACCGCGGCAGCTCCAGCCTCAAAAACGGCGCCAGCATCAGGATTTGCCAAGCCAGGCGCCACTTGCCGCCCTTCTCACAAGCACTGATGGCTGTATTGAAGGTGATGTCCTCGCTCCAAACCGAGACTCTAAGACGGTCTTTTGGGGAATTATTCCTGTTGGCGCTTGAAATCCCATCCTTCGCTTGGACACCAAGAAGGTGGCCCATCCTATGAAGGGCTCGACTCCGATCAAGCTCCCGGTGGCCAACCCGCTTTGCGAGGTCAGAATTCCATGCCCAGTGGCAAGTCGAATCAAGGGCAATGGCATATTCTCGCCTACTTGCAATGGTCAAAACCGCATACGAGCCCGGGACCAAAAAATTACGCAGGTGTGAAGAGAAAATGGGAAACCTCGTCGCGACCCCTGGCCTTTTGTGGGAAATCTGCCATGGACTCCCAGTATTCTGTCAGTTTGCTCATGATGGTCATGGCTACCTCATGTTCAGAAACTTGCCAAACTCCTGAAATGTCACTGGCTTGTGAAAACAAGGATGGGTGGAAATGGGGGATCAACCTTTAGAACTGTTGGTCTAAAAAAATACAATTTTACTCTGGAGGTACTCTTAAGCAAGGCAGAATCAAACGGCACTTGCTTTTGTTGTTTCCCTCAAGAGCAGGCCTAGTTCCTAGGATCCATGCCGGAACTTCCCCTGGACCCGCAGCAGTTCTTTACCCTTAGCCACATGCGGGCTACAGAATTACACATGTTTTGCTTGTGACTATGGCTTGGTATGGCTTTTTAAAAAACAATTTCTACGTATTTAGGTTCGTTTAGTACATAAACTTTGGCTGCTAGCTCGCCAATAGTCATGGCAATTGCCCGGTCAAGTCAGTCACCCGTCGCCGAGTGACATTGGGCACGAAGTTTGACAAATCCGCGAGCTGCACGGATTGCCTCCAGGCACCAGCCTTTGCGCAGGCATCCTCGGTCAAGCTCGCATAGAAAAACAGGCTGATGGGATCTATTGGGACCCCTCACGATGCATTTGGGAGTGTCTTGAGGGTATCCTGGCTGTGGTTGTTTTTGGAGAGAAACCAAAGGGACGCCACATGACACCATGCATTCCGGCCTCCCTCATTCAGACATACACCTCCGGCTTGGAGCCCCCCTCTTCAGCTGTTTGCCACAAACGAACGCAAGGCCAGCCAACCATTTCAGGAGAGCTAATTTTGGGGCTGGGGGTGGGGGAGGGAGCCCAAATAAGGCCCTGAAATGGCTTAAAGGGGCTCCCTCCCCCTCCCGTCCCTCCCCAGCCCCCATGAAATCAGGGGCTGCGGAACCTGGAGGTTCCCCCCTCCCCCATTTCAGGTATGCGAAGATTGAAAGCAAGTTGCTCCTTGGGACCTCAACACCACACCCAGACTCTGACCTATAGCGGTACCTCAATCAAACAAATGAGGCCCTTTCAGAGGAAGTCGGGGCTCCGCAAGCAGCGAAAGCATGAGCAATCGAGGAGTGTTCAATTCTGCGCCGCCAAGACAGGTTGATTGAAGCCGGGACCCCTTTTCCGAAGAGATCCCAAAAGCATCGCCGATTGAGAGCCCAAGAAATATGGATCGGAAAACAGTGAACCTTGCCGTCCCAAATCATTCTGGATGATCATCCGTTTTCAATTTAAATTGATAAGCTGACGCCCAAGAAAACAACCCTCAACAAAACCGAGGTCACTCACCAAAAGCGTATGCTTGCCATTTGAATTTAAACTAGTTGCTAATTGATTATTCTGCTACCAAAACCAGGCAAGCATGATAAGAAATATGCACGACTGACGTGTGAGTTCCTCCGAGCGTCAAGCGCCGCGTTGCGGCCAGCCGCATCCGACCTTATGTGCCCCAAGCCTGGTACTTCCATTTCTATCATTGCATTTGGCTTCCCTTTGTCAGGGGTTGGTAAGGGAAATCAAAAGAAGAATGGTCAAAAGACCCCAGGCGACCCGTTTGGTAGGGACGGTCATCAAATGTCATCAACCTTCATAGGGACTTCAGACAACCACTATATGATGATTCTCAACGGAACAATGACCATGACATAAGGAGCTTTCGACCATGGCTTGTATAATGCATGTTGCCTTCTTTGTGCTTTTGCGGCTAGCCTCCAGAAAGGTGTCCCCTAGTGTGGAACGCTCCTGCCCCTGTACATGTCGTGGGCCCCAAATCCTTACCACTGAAAAAAAAGAAACATGTATAGAGACCTTGGGCATTGTAAAATAATTGTGAACAATGAACACCTATACCTGAAAAAGCATCCTCCTCAAGTGCGTGCGTCTCCAAACCCAAACCCAGGAGCTGGTTCCTCCTCTAAAGATTGCACAACCGGGGGGGGGGGGTTGTTTGGTTGAACGGAGGCACGAAACCACCCCCTACCCTGCCCTTACATTTCAGATTCCAATTTCATGGCCTTTGATGTTGGTCTGTTTGCCTTCCTCTCACTCTTTGGACTTTCCACCCCCAACCAACCCTCCCGCAAAATACCCCATCAACCCACCACCATAGCTTGTGTGTGTGTTTCCTTTAAAAAGTAGACTGACACTCAACTTCAAGGCAAAGCGGTTTCACGCCGTCTCCAAAGACCATCGACAACACTTGCACACGTGTGCCCTGGGTTCAAACTGAAACTTTGGTTTCCCCCTTGGTACCCCCCCCTTGAACCAAACCCTCCAACAAAGACTCCCCATCATGGCTTCAGTGTCCTTCGTCCATTTGAGGCAATGAATCAAGAAGCCACTTTGGCTTTGCTCAGTCCCCAAATTGAGGCCCAAAAGCAGAAAGGGGTGCCAAGTCAATACCCGCAGCTCCACGCCGAAAAGCTCTCGAAACGAAACGCGCAGCGAGGCACCCCAAGCCGGCCACGGCCTGGCGCCAGAGGTTGGCCCGGGCGCAGGCAGCGCCGCAGCTGGCGCTGCTGGCCGGCCTGACCGGACGAGACTCAAACGCCAAACCCATGGAGTGGTTTCAGTTTGGTCCGAGGTGAAAGAATCATTTACGACAACCATAATATTCTAAAAGGACACCTGGGAATAGGGTCCAGGTCGAGCCTCGAGGACTTGGCAAACTCTTTGCACTTGAGGCCCAGTTTGAGGGAAATTGAGGGACCCCGGACCCCTGCCAAAGTCTCTCAGCTGGTGTCCAGAGATGCCTCAACCACCCTCAAGCCGGGCGAATGGGAGAGATGCAGCCACTGCGGTATGCAGCTACTATATCAAGGGTGCGTACCCGCTCTTCCTGGTGGGTGGTTTGGGGGCGGTGGGACAGGTAGAAACACCCCACACACCAAGCCACCCCAGCGGCACATACAGTTACTGCGTGTCAAGTTGGGTTAAGATATTATACTATCATGCTTATTGCGTGTTAATGTGACTTCAAGGAATTGAAACATTGATAACAACAGAATTCGCAGGGGTACGTCCTGAGTCTTTTCTTGTTTCCATACTGCTTGCTTTATGATTATGTGCAGAAGGGTTGTTTCGTGTCCAGCGTCTTTGTTTCAACACAAGGTGGTTAAACAGTTGTTATTCCTGTGTGTTGGTGGCTTATGGTTGTCCACTTTGCCAACTGTCAGTCCCTCAGTCCAACGAGAGTGTTTAGTCCACTTAAGTTGAGCTGGTTGAACGCATTGACTTTCTGTTGGCAAACATCAGCCTTTGTTCAGCTGTGGGAGTGGAACACATGCACGCTTTCTCAAGCTGCTGGAAACATCCACTTTTACTCAAGTTGGTTGAACACATCCACGTTTGTCATGTTGGCATGCTTGACGAGTCGGTTGAACACGTCCACTTGCTTTGATAAGCTGGTTCAGCACCCCACTTGATGCTCAGTTGGTTCAACACCACACCATCCATGTCAAGGCAAGTTAGCATCGTTATGAATTAGGTTGTTCAGTCGGTTGAGCATGTTGTTCAGTTGGCTGACCATCCGATGCCCGCAACGGGCATGCGTGCTGACAGCAGGACATCATATTTGTCCTGGGGTCTAGCACATCAACCCGTGCAATCTCCTCAAAGGTTCGCCCGAAATCAATGACTATGTCAAACTCGCCCCGTGGAAAGAGTTTTACAAGAAAACCAGCATGACAACAGCCATCTGAAGGATGACTTCTCACATGCGTTGTTGCATTTCTCTTTAACAACTCCATTGCAGCTGGACTCCAGGAAACCATCGCCGTTTGGGGACCTTCAAACATGGGCGTCATGTTATTCGGAGGGGGTAGGGATTAATCCCTTCCCCCTTTTAATACATGGAACCTATTAACAAATACTATTTTTTCAGACCGGCCGGGTCCCCAATACCACTTTTAGAATAGCTCAATTCAAAACCAATACTAAACTGTCCAATGTCTCCGCCCAGACCGGCCCCAGCTCCTTGCACCAACCCAATACCAAATTCTAAATGCACACCTATACCTTGTACTAGCCCATCTGGACGAGGACCGAAGAGGAAATCCGGTCGATCCCAAAGGACCCTATTATAAATATGTTTTGTGCCCCAGAGTGTGCTTACTTCGGGGGGGGGGGTCCGCGTTTGTTATTGGGGGGAGGGGATCACTTGTAGCTTCTCGCCTGTGCCCACTATGTTGCTAGTGCCTGGGGTGTTCTCAAAGTCAGAAACTGAGGTTGAAACACATGCGAAGGCATATCCTTATTGAACGCCAATGGGTTCTATCTTCCTTTGCTGGCCCCCTACGTTTCCCGCTGAAACATCACCTGGGACATGCAAGGAGAATCCCTCGAGATGCATTCAAAACTCGAAAGCCAGGAAACATGGCCCACAGTGTGAGGCGTCGAAAACAAAAGACGAGGCACCATGTTTGTTCGCAACTGACTTTAAACGGGGTCCCTCTCCAACAAACCAGTGGTCACTGGACTTCCCCTCCAGAAGCCGCGATTGCACTGGTGGTGTCCGCCCCATCAAAGGGACGCCGAGGGACCCCAGTCCAATGAAGCGCGCGTTGAGCTCAGGACCTGGCCGGCCTGAGCCTCTGCTGGCCCATGAGCTCCAGCAGGTCCAGAACCAAGCGCCATGGCCCCACGGAAGAGTTCAGCGAGCCCATGGCACCTCAACGGCAAAACAAATCTCACAACACTTGAACTTGGCATGGTAGCAAAAACCTGAAGTTGTTTGCAGTTTGCAGCCCACTCACTAGAAATGAAGAGAACCAAAGACACAAAAACCAAAAAACAAGTGCCAAGAGCAGGGAAGAGATGGTTCAAGCGGAGGCTACAAGCAAGGGTTCTTCAACAAGAGTCTTCCTGCAATTTGAGTTGCCCTTCTGGTGACCAGGTTCTCTGTCGAGCGACCGGGGAGCTCACAACCAACGCCCATGCTTGGGGTTTGCTTATTGTGAGCGAGCTTGAGATGTAGGGAGAACCCCTCAGCTTTTGCCCAAGGAGAATATTCTTGTTTTGGTCCATGAAGTGAACCGTCAAACGTAAAATAGCTTCAAAGATCCCTTTTCATTCAACTAATCAACGCCTGGAACCCCCAGAGGAGATGGGGAAACTAGCGAGTTCACCTGGATTTGTGGAACATGTTGTAAATTCTCATGTCCCTCCGAAAATTTGGCCAAACCTCAGCTGAACCCTGGATCTCGATTCGGCCAAACCGGGCTCCGTGATCCCAAGCCGCTGTTGTAGCTCACCGCGTCCCGTAGCTCCGGCCGCTTCAGCATCTGCAGGCTGCGTCTCCAGGCGCCCGGCCCTGGCGCGCCAACCCAACCAAAAACCTCAAGCTTTTTTTTGTTGTTTAAAGTTTAAATAAAAATAATAATAATAATAATAATAATAATAATAATAATAATAATAATAATAATAATAATAAAAAATAATAATAATAATAATAATAATAATAATAATAATAATAATAATAATAATAATAATAATAATAAATCACATAATAATAATAATAATAATAATAATAATAATAATAATAATAATAATAATAATAATAATAATAATAATAATAATATGTTTTTCGGGAAAAGGTGTGCCCCCCCCCCCCAACATCTTTAGGGTTTAGGGTTTGTTCAAGTCTTCCCCCAAAAGAGAACATGGAAGCCTAAGCCAAGTCTTCCCCCAACAAAAGACAACATGGAAGACTGTTGGACTGCACATGGAGTTCAGGGGGTCGCCGCCAGTTCCTGCATTCCCTTTTTGATGGGGGTAGGCATCCATTTTTTTAAGTAGGGTGATGACAGGGTAGGTCTTTTCACCCTTTCCTTGGCAACGTCCAAGTCAAGAGGAATCCTAGAGTTCCCTCAAATGCGACCAACTCCTCATTCCTTGGTGTCTGCCTCAAACAGGGAAGTTCCATTCAAGTGACACCCACCCTCTTTTCTGTTGGTTCAACGGGCCCAGCGAAACATCACCGTTTAATGACTTGCATTGCTGAATCTGCGGCTCCCGGTTTGGACCATTCTCCTCGCAAAAAAAAGAAAAGAAAGAAAAAAACTTTTTAATGGGATCCATGTCGGTAAACAAGAGGCTATTTCATGGGGGGAGGGGCGGTAACTCACGGGACTTCCCGGCACCTCTTTTCAGATGCCCAGTGGACTTCCATGGGAAAAAAATAATCGGCATCCTCTTTTGGTTGGTTGACTTAGGGACCCCCTTCCCCAAACAAGTCGAAAAAAGGAAGCAATCCACTGGGCTGGGTCTTTTCCAGGGCTCCCGAGTGAGTCCCGAATCGGACCGCGGCTCCCTTCCCAAAAAAGGAGTCGCAAAAAGGAAGCCATCCACTGGGCAACTGGGTCTTTTCCATGTTGGTTGGGAGTTTTTTGTTTTCAGGGGATTCACCAGCGCCTGTTGTCCGGGGCCCAAATTTCCGCCCGAGCCCCGAGCCCCGCGATCGGCTAGCTCCGGGTCCGCCTGAGCCCAGCGCGTCGGCGGCCGCGTTGAAGGCCAAGGCGTTGGCGGCCAAACGCTGGGGAGCCATGGACTCGAAGACGCCCAAGGCCTGGAAGAATTTTCTTGCCCGAGGGCGGGGTACTAGTTGGATTTTTGCAATGGGCGATGGATTTGTATGTAACTATTTGGGAAAACAAGCTGATTTCCTTTTGGTTTCCCCAGTGGCTCCATTTACCTTGTAGGTACGTAACCAAGGGAATCCTTCAAAAACCAAAAGCCAATGGCGTTAAACTACTATAAGAGTAACTGGGATTCACTGGGTAAGGTAACACGAGGGTTTTTTTTTGGATTCCACCCTTCACATCCTGGGAAATGGTGGGTGGGGATCAACCCGAGTCTTGTGTATAAACCGGAAGGGGATCCCTTCAATATCAAGGAAGGAATGGGTTCTTTCGGGGTTCCGAGTCATTCCCTGAAACTTGGGTCGTCAATTTCCCCCCAAAATTTTGGCACATTTCAGCCCACGGGGGCATCCGATTCATTCCCAACGCCCTTGTGATGCCCCTGCTGAGAACCAGCAAGAAAAGCATGAACAACTCGTTGTGTGTGTGTGTGTACATCGCGATGTACATATGAATATGAGTATATATATATATATACATACATATATTATAATATGTATACGTATATATGTGTATATGTATATATGTGTATATGTATATATATATATACATGTACAGTATAATACATAATCATATATCGTATAAGTATATTTTACTGTTGTTCCATGATACTCCAATTCATGCCTCAAATAAGGGGGCCTCAACAACAGTGGTGTTCCTTTTGGTTTCCCTTGAAACCAACCCTAAAGAGGGTTGCCTCACCAAAGCACAAACCCCGTTACCCTTCCCCGCCTGCTGCCAGACCGCCGCCTCTTTGCACGCCACGATGCCGCTGGTCGCAGCCACCACGTCCAAGGATGCCGAGGCGAGGTGCAAAGCGCGGGGCCAGCTGAGCCTCGCATGCTGCAAATAGTTTGGTCAGCAACTAGGGGGAAACCTTACCCCACGAAAAAGCAGATAGGCCAGGGCTGTGGTAAATGGAATTCACTTCTGTGATACAACACAAAGGGCTTCCCAAAGACCTAACCCCCTTGTAAAGGGGCAATTCCTTGGTATCACAGAAGTGGGGAAAACCCTTGATCCCGCAACCCTGAAATAGGATGATTGCGGTCGTCCGAATAAAACGGACCCCCTTCCGATGTTCTTCGCAATCCGCAGCGGGCAGCAGCGGCAGGAGGGAGTTGTAGCTCACCACGCTGGGCTTCAGCCGCGAGCACGTCATCTCAGCCAGGAGCTCCGCGCCGCGAATCCAGGGGGAACACTTCAGGGCGAGGTTGAAGCTCAGCACCTGCCCGGGAGGAGGGAGGGAAGGAAGGGTTGGCGGGTTGGCTGCTTTAACTATTTATTTACCGTCCAACAAAGGGTTCCTATTTTGAGACAGATATAATATAAGCTTTCTTTATTTACGCTTTTCAAGACAGCAAGAGTCTTTGTAGCTGATTTCTAGAAGTGGTTCCTGCTTTGAGAGACAACATCTGGTTTCTGGCCATAGTCTTGCTCAGACGCATCAGGTGATACCCGTCAAAGGAGGCACTCACAGACCGGTGCGTCTCCAAGAATTTGTGACCCCGAGCGGCAGGTAGCTTCCATCCCCCCCCCCGCCCCCCCCGGCCACGGGGTCACGTCCCACACCTCGTCCGTCACCATCTTTGCGGCAAGTCGCCATGGGGCCGCCCGCGGCGCATGGCGCAGGGCCCCCTGGAAAGCGGAAAGCGGAAAGCGGGTGGGTTTGTCTCATGGGGAATCAGCCATCAGCCTACTTGTCTTTGCCATGTGTTGGTTAAAAAAGTGACTGGAAGCAGTTCCCCTCTTTTTGGAGACACCAACTAGTTGGTTAAACTACAAGTTGTTTGTTCAACCATGGTTCAAGGGTTGTTACATGGCAACACAAAAACAAACCACTTGGGTTTAACCCACTTGGGTTTCTGAAAGCAGTGGCCGCTATGATGGTTTGTTTCCTGTTGTGTTCCCTACAATTACCAACGCAATGGGGGGGTCCGTCATTTTGTATCAACCCACCTAGTAAGTACGGGGCATTACCGTGGTTGCAAGGCCACCCGCGGTCACCCCTATTATACATAGGAATAGTTATCACCTACAAAATGGATTCAACATCCAATGGGTGTCAAAATAGGGATGTCACCCAAAATATCGGCCTTCCTTTTGGTGTGACTTTAAACCAAGCTTCAGGTGAGCAGTGCTTGCGGTTTGCCGATTGGTCGGCTCGCATGGCTGAAATGGGTGGACGGAAAACAACATCATCAGGCTGCTGAAACTGTGCGAATTGGGAGTGTCGTGGTTGTCTTACGGGAATCTGTTGAAATCGAAATAATCCAAAAGGCACCTGCCATTTGCTAGGTTCCATGTAAAACATCGCCCTATTCTAAATATGGAGCTGCAACACACACCCCACCCGTTGCTTTTCGACTAAAAGCAGCTCGTTCACATGCTCTGTTTCGGGCGGCCCTTCTCTCGAGGTCCCTGGACTCACGGGGAAAAACTGGGGGGGGGGGAGGAAGTCATACGCAGTCCTCCAAGACAGGACGATGATTTGTCCACCCTGTGCTGAAAACATGTTGTAACATGGGGGTAAACATGTTCAACCACTTTTGAGAGATAGTGTTCCAAATATAGCCAGAGAAGCATACGGGTTCGTCTCAGTTACTTGCCCCAAGCACATCTGTGGCTATAAACACTTGAGCCTCGTTGCTGGGCGGGTTTCCCCTGAGAAATGGCTGCCGCTTCCATCAAACCCGTCAAAAGTCCGAGAAGAACACACAAACAGGATCTGGGAAAACTGTGACTTCTAGACCAGAAACAAGGAATGCCCACGCAAGGGGCCTTCATTAGGGGACAAACAAACAGGACAATGCCAGGGGGTAATTAGTTACACACAGTATTCTCCTGTCAGGGGTTTCTAAGTACCCCACATCCCGAGTCTGAATATTCAAGCCCTCATGCTTCCATAGTAGCCCCAACAAGACTCAAATCTCTGTGCAGCTCACGTTGAACCATGGTTGCGGTCGTGGGGTGCTTGGGAGACCCTGAATGGGTTCTAAGAAATGGGTTCTAGGATGCTACGCAAGCTGAAACCTGCTTATTCGCAACGAACGGAACTCTCTGTGATACCGAAATGGCAATATGCGGAACTACTTTGACAGTTGCAAGGGGGGTCCCTTGGTGACCGTTGAAAGTGACCTAAAGCCTTGCCTCCCACAACTATGCGCTGGACCCTTTGTGGGATGGTGGTAGGGGAAAGCCAAAGCGAATCCATGGCCAAGTGAGGGCCAAAAGGCGAGTGGATGGAACCAACCCCATCTTTTGTGGGAACCCAAACGAGATATCAGCTGCAAAAGGATCCCTTACTTTAGAAAACCAAGAGGAAGCCAACAGAGAGCCCTGAGGAAACCACTTTAGAAGCAAAGAGATAGGTCCAAGACTTCTGGACACTCGACGGTCGCGGCCTCCAACTGCAGGTGAAGGCCCCGTCTCCAGTGGCCTCACGAAACAGCTCGAACCGGATCCCGTGCGAGCGACCCCTCGAGGCCAAACGATCACCCCGAGACGAAGACAGCTGAGGCGCCAACCCTATTCCACATCTCTTTGGCCAACAACCCCTCAAACGGGGTACAGGCAAACTCAAAGTGGTGCGATGAACAAACCAGAAGGGGACGCCATGGGGGCTGCGATTTTTGCAGGTAGTAATAATAGGAAAAAATACACCAGCATAGACCCCAGATAGCGAAGAACATGCCGACAGATTCAAACTGTAACAGTTTTGCTTGAGCCTTTTGGGTTGAACATGTATTTCTGTGGGATTTCAGTGGTGTTTGTTAGAGGCTGGAACGCCATGGGGGCTGTGTTTTTGCAGGTAAAGTGCCTCGTGAATATAGTCTCAAGTATAGTTGTCTCATGGCGGCTACGATGAGTAGGCAAAGTTGAAGACAACTACAACACTGAGCAAAGCTGCGAGCTGCTTGCATTGATAGAAAGCAAGACATTGTAAGAAATGAGACCGCACGCAGCAGACATGAGATTGTGCTATAGTTGGAGCCAAGCCACCTTAGCTTTGTGCAGGAGGTTTGTGGCACTTTAGGCTGAAACCTCAAAAAACTTCGAGAAAACCAAAAAACCAAGAAAACCAAGATTTCAGACGCTAACCCCTTGGGTCCAACCCCCCGTGGGGTTTGCAATCAGTTTGTTAGTTTTCTGGAGGTTTTTGGCACTTTAGGCTGAAACCTCACAAAACCTGGAAAAAGCACAAGATTGCAGACCCTAACCCCTTGGGTCCACCCCCCTTGGGGTCTGCAATCTTGTTGTTTGGGTTTTCTCGAGGTTTTTGGCATTTGTGGACAAAACCAACAAAAACAGATTGCAGACCCTAACCCCTTGAGTCCACCCCCCTTCATCTGCAATCTTGTTTTCTTTTTTTGGTTTTGTCGAAGTTTTTTGCACTTTAGGCTGAAACCTCACAAAACCTCGACAAAACCAAACAAACAAAAAATGCAGACCCTAACCCCTTGGGTCCACCCCCCTTGGGGTCTGCATTTTTTGTGTGTGTTTTTGGCTTTTGTACTTTTGTTTCCTCCTTTTTTTCTCGAGTGTTTTTTTGATTTTAGCACGAGGCTCTTTGATGCTTTTTGTTTTTCGTTTTTCCCCAGATAGCTGAAAGCTATAGGGGTTCTAACTTCTAGCAAAGACGGGAAAGTGATTTGCAAGATTGATGGGCTGGTGCTAGGGGGCGTGCAGTTTGGGGTGCTAAGACTTGTCACATCTCGCGGAATCATGATCACTCTGAGCGGATAAGGTGTCACTGCTTACGGAAGTGAAACTGTCACTGCTTACGGAAATGAAGCCACTACACGCGGAAAAGTATAGGGGTAGGAAGCTCCTTTCTAAGGCTCCTTTCTAAGGCTCCTTTCTAAGGCTCCTTTCTACTGCTCCTTTCTAAGGCTCCTTTGTAAGGCTCCTTTCTAAGGCTCCTGATTCCAGCTCGAAAAGCGGTCCCCAGCCAATCCCTCCTGAAAGGCCGCTTTTCGAGCTGGAATCCGGCATTCCAGCTCGAAAAGCGGATCCCCAGCCAATCCCTCCTGAAAGGGGGCCGTGATGAAGGTTGTCTTGGGGATCCGCTTTTCGAGCTGGAATCCGGCATTCCAGCTCGAAAAGCGGATCCCCGGCCAATCCCTCCTGAAAGGATCTGAAATCCGCTTTTCGAGCTGGAATCCGGCATTCCAGCTCGAAAAGCGGATCCCCAGCCAATCCCTCCTGAAAGGGGGCCGTGATGAAGGTTGTCTTGGGGATCCGCTTTTCGAGCTGGAATCCGGCATTCCAGCTCGAAAAGCGGATCCCCGGCCAATCCCTCCTGAAAGGGGGCCGTGATGAAGGTTGTCTTGGGGATCCGCTTTTCGAGCTGGAATCCGGCATTCCAGCTCGAAAAGCGGATCCCCAGCCAATCCCTCCTGAAAGGGGGCCGTGATGAAGGTTGTCTTGGGGATCCGTCGAGCTGGCCACGCTCACTCCTGCGGCAGGTTGAACAAACGCTTGGAAAGCACGCGAAAAACGCAAAAAAACACGGTCCTCCCACCACGATGTCCAGCACCCCTCATGCCGCCTGACAAGAACGTTCAAACATGGCCCAAAGCGGAAAAAAAAGGTGCCTTGCGCGGCTTTTTGGCCGCATCTCGGCGGCGGCCTCTCAAAGAGGGATTCAAGAGACAACGGATGAGTCGATTCCCACCTCCAGCCGGACGACCTGGGCTTGGAGCTTCTGGTTCTCCTCGTAGAGGGCCTTGATGTCGACCTGACAGTTCACTGCTGAGGAAAAAAAGGGGGACACCGCGCTCCTTGTACCCCTCGGTCCACTTCTGCTCCGCCTCGAGCTTCGTGAAGAGCCGCAGACATTCCTTCTCCTGTCATCCACAACGATCCGCCAGCCGGCGAAAAAAAACGAGCCTTCTCCACGAGCTTCGCCGCCGCGTCCGCGTGCTCCGCGAGCTGGCCGCGGAGGCACTGGATGGTGGCGTCCTGCAAATGTGAGCATGACCTTCATCCGTTTACCGTTGAAACTGCACCCGCCTTGACCGCCAGCTCGCGGCGCATCGCGTCCTGTCGACAAAAAAAGGATAGCCCACAGCCCTCTCACGATACGACGAGCCTTCTCGTCGTTGAACGCCTTCTCCCTGCGGAGCTTGGACGGCGGCTTCCGCGTCGCCGTCCAAGCCGCCTCCTGGCAGAGGCATCGTGGAAAGGAAAAAAAAGGAAAAAAGGGAAGACGCGCCTCCCAGCCAGAGGATCCTCCGCCACCTGCCGAGCACGACACGACGGAACGCGAAAAAAAGTCCTCGGTGCCTGCGCCCCAATCCTCACCAGACCAACCTGGCAACGAGCAACTTTCGGACACGACGGAACGGCGAAAGTCCTCGGTGCCTGCGCTCCAATCCTCACCAAACCAACCTGGCAGCGAGCAACTTTCGGACACGACGGAACGGCGAAAAAAAAGTCCTCGGTGCCTGCGCCCCCTACGTCAGGACGCCATGCCCCCCAAGTCTCGTCCTGGGCAAGAGGAAGAAAGCAGATACCTAAAAAAAAAGAGGCGAAGGCCTCCGCACCATGATCTCCCATCGCGGAGCGCTCCCGAGGTCGAGGGGCCGAGGGGTTGCCGATGCTGCTGATGCTGTTGCTGTCTGATCGCCGAGGGGTTGCCGAGCCGAGGGGTTGCCGAGCCGAGGGGTTGCCGATGCTGCTGATGCTGTTGCTGTCTGATCTGGGCCGACGCGCTGCAACAAACAAGTGTTTGAGATATTCGCATGGAATCCCTTCTCCACTTCAACCTTCAAAGTTCTCATCTGATTGCTCGCCACCAAGATCTGCACCAGAACATGTTTCGACAAGACCCACGTGAGAAACACGCCACGCAAAAAAAACATGCAAAATCATGTCATGCCAAAATCAAGCAAATGTCATGCCATGCAAAAAATCGTGCAAAACGAGCTATTAGTCTCGTCCGTATATAGACATACGGACGAGACTAATAGCATTTTTTCAGCGCAAAACCGTGCGAAACAAGCTATTCTCCCCGACCACACGCGCACAGATGCCCCGAGACTGCGCGCGGCCCACCAAAAAAAACTGGACCCGTAAAAAAAGAATGGCAAGTTGGGCGAGACAACGACAGCAGATCACGGAGGCCGCGGACGGCGGCGCCCGGGCTCGCACGGGGGCGGATGGAGCCGTCGTGCTGAACTTGCGGCGCGGACCGGGGGCCTACGCGCTGCTCTCGCGCGCGGACGGGCAGCTGACGGGCCAGCACTACTACTCTCACCTGGGCCTGCGGCCTCCCAGCAGGGACTTCGACTACAACCAGCCCCTCATCCGCGAGGGGCCCAACAACTACATCCTGCTGCGCAACAGGCAGAAGAAGCTCGTGCGACTCGAAAAGCTGGAATCCGGCATTCCAGCTCGAAAAGCGGATCCCCGGCCAATCCCTCCTGAAAGGGGGCCGTGACGAAGGTTGTCTTGGGGGTCCGCTTTTTCCGCAGAGACTGTGCTTTGTTTTTCCGCACATTTGGTTGTTTTTTCCGCTCTGCGGGGTTCGCACGTTTTCCGCGCGCAGCGCCAAGCCTCATTTTGGTGTAGGTGCTGTTTTGGGGGGTGACTTTGCGCGCGTGTTTTTCCCCAGATAGCTGAAAGCTATAGGGGTTCTAACTTCTAATAAAGAAGGGAAAGTGATTTGCGAGATTGAGGGCCGGGTGCTGGGGGGGCATGCAGTTTGGGGCGCTGGTGGAGGTGCTGTTTTGCGAGCTTGACGGCCGGGTGCTAGGGGGCATGCAGTTTGCAGTGCTGGTGGAGGTGCCGCTTTGCGAAACTGACGGCCGGGTGCTAGGGAGCATGCAGTTTTGGGTGTTGGTGGAGGTGCTGTTTTGTGAGATTGACGGCCAAGTGCTAGGGGTCATGTAGTTTGGGGTGCTGGTGGAGGTGCTGTTTTGCGAGATTGACGGACGGGTAGGGGTCATGCAGTTTGGGGTGCTGGTGGAGGTGCTGTTTTACAAGATTGACGGCCAAGTGCTAGGGGTCATGTAGTTTGGGGTGCTGGTGGAGGTGCTGTCTTGCAAGATTGACAGCCGGGTGCTAGAGGGCATGCAGTGTCGGGGGCTGGTGGAGGTGCCGCTTCGCGAGATTGACGGCTGGGTGCTAGGGGGCATGTAGTTTGGAGTGTTAGGGGGCATGCAGTTTCGGGTGCTGGTGGAGGTGCCGCTTTGCGAGATAGGGGGCATGTAGTTTGGAGTGTTGTGGAGGTGCTGTTTTGCGAGATTGACGGCCGGGCGCGAGGGGGCATGCAGTTTCGGGTGCTGGTGGAGGTGCCGCTTTGCGAAACTGACGGCCGGGTGCTAGGAGGCATGCAGTTTGGGGTGGTGCAGGTGCTGTTCTGTGTTGCTGTTGGAGGTGCTGCTGACCGCGTGGGCTTATTTCCCGGATAGCTGGATACCATAGACTTCTAATGAGGCTGGTGACAGTACGTGACGGCAGGGTGCTCGGGGACGTGTCCGGTGCTGGCGCGGGTGCTGCGTTGGGGTGCTATTGGGGCTGCTGTTTTCCGTTGTTGGTGATGGTGCGGGCGCATGTGGATGGCAGGGTGCTAGGGCGGGTGCTGTTTTGGGGTATCGTGGTTGTCGCATCTTCATGATGCTGGCCGCAGCATCATGATGCTGTCAGCAGCACCATGATGCTGTTGAACCGATTCGGACGTTGTTGCTGCTCTAACTGTCGCGTGAAATGGTTCGTGGCTTGTGTGTCATCATGATGTTGTCAACCACGTTATGATGCTGCTGCAATCGCTGCGGTGCCGCGTTATGGTTTGTGGGTGTGGTGGCGGGCATAATGCTGTCAACATCAGGGTGATGCTGAATTTCATTACACTGTCGCAAGATGATTCGTGGCTGTGGTATCATCAGGATGCTGCCTTTGCCATCACCATGACGCTGTGAGCATCATCATGATGCTGTCCGCATCATCATGATGCTGTCGAACTCATCAGGACGTCGTCTCTGCCTTTTTTCTGCTAGATATGTAGCGCGGAATCGTTCGTGGCTGGTGTATCAGCATCACCCTGTCAACATCATCGTTTTGCTGATGGACTCACTAGGACGTTGTCTGCGCGTCTATGTAGCGCACTTTGCAACCATTATGATGCTGCGTCACGGTTCGTAGCCGTGGTGTGCTATCTGGGGTCTATGCTGGTGTATTTGTATCTTGACGGTAGGCCGCAGGGGGGAATGCAGTTTGGGGTGCTGCTGTTTGGGGTGCTGTTTGAGGTACTGGTGAGATTGACGGCCGGGTGCTAGCGTACATGCAGGTGACGATGCGGGCGCATTTTTGCAAGACTGACGGTAGGGTGCAAGCGGGCATGCAGTTTGGGGTGCTGGTGCGGGTGGTGCTTTGGGATGCTGCTTGGGGTGCTGTTAGGTGCTGGTGACGGCGTGGGCGCATTCGCGCGAGATTGATGGCTGGGTGCTTTGGGGGTGCTGTTTGGGGTGCTGTTCGGGGTGCTGTTCGGGGTGCTGTTCGGGGTGCTGTTCGGGGTGCTGTTCGGGGTGCTGTCCGGGGTGCTGTTCAGGGTGCTGTTCGGGGTGATGGTGTGGGCGCATTTCTGTGAGATTGACGGCCGGGTGCTGTTTGGGGCGCTTTTTGGGGGGGTGCCGTTGGAGGTGCTGGTGTACATCTGTCGGCATCTCAAGTCTGGTTGCATGGATGTTTTTTCTACGCCCTAGACACCGATTATCGGGGAAAAGCAACGCCCAAACTCAAATTGGTTTGCTTAGTGTCATTTGAAACGTAGCCCGAATCAATCCTTAAGGGAGTACTTGGGGAGACAAAAACACATTGTGGGGCGGGGGGCAAGTAACGATTTTGTTGCAGCCCGCCCCAGAAAAAAAGGGGGAAAACAAGAACTATCTCAACATCACGATTCCCAATTAAAGGGGAACTCCAGCAAGCAATACTCAATCAAATGGGAATCCAATCCAGCACTACAACATCAAATGCAACATCCACTCAACGAGATCAAATGGAAGTCCAATCCAGCAATACTAAATGAAATGCAAACTACATCCAGGAATACTATTATTTGAAATGGAAACTCAATTCCAGCAATATGAAGTCACATCCCTCAAATCCAATCTATAAAGGAAGCTCCAGCAACACTAAATCAAATGGAAACTCAAAGTTGGCCTCAGCAATACTGCCCAATTCTGAATTGATTTGGGGGAAGATCATTTGTTTTGGGGGCATCCATCGTTGAGGGTGAGGGGGTCGATTAATCAAAGATCACCATTCAGGGGGCCTTTTGATTTGCCACCAATCGAAGGGTCGAAATGCGGCTTTACATCCCAGGCTCGACAAAACCAAAACAGTCTTTCTGTCCCAATCAGCCTACATAGGGACCTACAAAACACACGTCCTGCCCACTAGATGGTTTCTGAACCAGAACACAAATAGAGTTCCGAAGTTTGAAAGATGGTCCTGGACAAGTCTTATCTGGTCAAGTTTGGCCACTTTGTAGATCGGCGCTCAGTGGTTGCTCGAGCAAAGAGGATCAACTTTCCAGCTGACACGGGAGGACCCGAAAAACACAACGCTCCTTTTCCGAAATATTCAATTTGATGCATTCCCTCATCACAGAACACTATTCTGGGATGGCCTGCAGCCTTCAAACCACTTCGAGTTTTGGAGCTGAGAATCAAGCTGTGGGGCAAATGCCTGCCAGTCGCCCATACCCAGGCAGGAATGCCCCCCCCGAAAAAATCGCAGATCTTTGGTCCAAGCGAGATACTCGTGCAGTCGAAGTAACGGAAGCTAGGCATCCGATTTGGGTATGTCTGAATAAAGAACCCCCCACAAAGTGTACCAACTCAAAACTAATGCAACTCCTGAATGGCGTTGCTTCCGCTTGGTTATCCAGCGAATATAAATGGAGCAAACCGGGTACACCCATTTCCCCTCCACAGAAATCCCTCAGCCTTCACCTCCAGCGCTTGTGACTGCATTGAGTGCTAGTACGTCCACGCGAATCGCCCTTCCAGGCATGTCCTGGCATGAATTGCCCAGCAAGTCGCCAGCCACCAGCCGCTTTCCCCTTTAGCATCCAAAACCGGCAGATCCTTGCAACACCTCTGCGAACTGTACTATATAAATCACTAGGGATCGAAGTTCCAAAGATTTACTCACCAAGCTGAAACAGACTTCAAGCCAAGCCCTGGTCGCAAAAGCGAAATGTCAAGCACACCCCGAGTGCTTCCCGCTGCGGATTGCGCACATGCCATGAACTCAGTGGCTTGGTTCGTTTTCTTGGCGTGGCTTCCCTGTGACTCACATTAACAATTTCCAGGAGGGGCCTCAACCAAGGTTGCTGGAGAGGCTGGAAACCGACTTTGGAAAACGCTTCAAGGGCAGAAGGAAGCAAATGACTTCCCCATCCAAAGCAGCCTGGACTCAAAATAGGGCAACACGGGGAAGCACCGGATTCTCTTTGCTTCAACCACAAAAAACCTTGAGCGATGCTCGACAAACATTGTGCGATCTAATGAACGGCTCTTGCTCCTGAAGCCATTGGGGCTTCTTTTTTGGGTCCCTGCCTCTCTCTCTCTCTCTTCCGGGAAACCTTTTGAAAATCCAAAGGAAGGCACCTTGGGTTCTCTTTGCGACGCGCATTCCGGGCACGCCTGCAGCAGAGCGTAGGCTGAGCGCCAGTCGCAGCACAGGCTGTAGCTGACGGCGTCGGGAGCCAGGCGACGCCAAACCATGGCCTGCCAGGCGGTCCAAGGGGCCATTAGGGCCTCATTGGTCTCATGGGCTCCCTTTCAGCAGGGGGTTCTGCTTTCTTCTTTGTGAGGTATTTGGTGGACAGAGGTGCGTCATCTTTCGAGTTGGTGCCCAGAGCTTAGGAAAATTAGTGCATCTCCCCCCCCAACGCTTAGAAAAAAGCAAACGAAGCCCTATTGGCCCCTTCATTTCAAAATGTGCCATGGCATTAGCTGAAGAAGAATGATGGAGCAAGGCACGGCATGTACCACTATATCTTGTTCCATCTGCTCTCCTTTGAGCAATTCTGTTGGACAGAACTTGGAGGATTGAACATAGGCAAAGTCATCGGGAGGCGCTGGTGGTGAGGGGGTTTTCCAGTACCAGTGCTAACAAAGCGAGAACAAACGCCCAAAACAGACATGCGGGGAGTCGATGGAACACGTCGCAAACACCCGCAAACAAAAGGTGACTGCCATTGATTGCCACCCACCGCCTCCTTGATGATGAGAAGGCGGGCAAATCTCACTCCGCCATCTTCATGGCAAGGGCCCCATTTGCTCGGGATGGAGCTGTTTCGCTGTTTCGGTCACCCAAACGTGTCCAGCGTTTGTGTTGGGGGCTGGTCGGGGTGGAGCTCCAAAAATATCGGTGCCATGCTCACACCTGCCTAGCAATCAAGTAAGTAGGTCTTTTGACCACGGCACATGTACCAGGCTTGCTTGTTTGACGTGCTTTTGAGGAAAACAAAGGACGCCTGTAAAGCATAGACTCGCTCTTGAAGAAGTGTCGACCGACTTTTCCCTGACAAGGGTCGCAAGGCATACCCAGTTCTACCCAATGCCCAGCAACCCCCTCCGGAAAATTCCGGGGCAAAAAAACTGGGAGGGCCCGCCTTTCCTTCTTTGGTTGATTTAGGGAACCGCCCACCGCCCCTTACGGAACAGCCCCTCGGGAAACAAACAAAAAAGAACCGCCCCGCTGAATTTGGAAGCAGCCTGCAGCAGCGTCAGACTCCGAGCCCAAAAGTTCTTTGAGACCTGCAGCAGGGCGTTGTAGGTCACCTTGCTGGCCACCACCTTCCTTGGATCTGTGAATATAATATTTCACCAACCTGAAATAAGGTGGTTGGGGGGCTGTTCCCCGCATAAACCCCCATTTGGGGTGAGGTCGTGTGGGGTCGTTATAATTCACCCAGTTGGATGGGTCAAATCCTCCGAACCCCGAAAGGTTTCGGCACAGGAGACATGTCCTTTTTGCTGGGGGGAGGGGTTCACTGGTAAACCCCCTACCCTAATTTCCCCTTGCCCCGGGTAGGGCTTAGGGTAGTGAAAACCATCTTGCAGGTATCTTGAAGTGTGATGTCTTAGGAACCACATGGACGGCAACAAGTTGGCGGAGGACTGGCTTCTTTTAAATGGGGTTTCTTTTGGACGGGGGGGTAAGGAGATAGGGGTTGTCGGGGGGACCTTCGTGGCACTGGATCTGCATTGTTTGACAATGATGCCGAAACCCCAAAATAAGACATGGCCTCCCTCTGGTTCATAGCGAAGGAAACAACCAGCGAAAGGGATGGGAACATGAGAGAGAGCCATTCACCCACTTCCCTCTCTCGCCACTGTTGATCATATTGGACGAAGATTACTCACTGTTTCGTCTCTTCCCTCTCGATTCGTATGCGAGGCAAACGCTAAGCGCTGCATGCCTGCTGCCAAGGCTCTGACGTTGCATCTCTGATGCCGCCATGAAGGCGCGTGCCCACTGGTCGCATGTCCTATGGGCACTGACCAACGAACCAGTAGTGCCGCTTTTTCACGGCAACGGGAGCATTGTGAGTTGGCTGTGCGAAAAAAATAGGGTAACCCCTAAATGGCTTGCCCTGGTAAATGGAACCAAGAACTAAAACCTGCGGTCCAAGTCCTGGTGGTTTAATTTTGACCCATCCCCGGTTCAGCCTCTTGAAAGACTCGAATCCAAGCATCGCAATGATCCTCGCCCGGAAAGCAAACTCAATCTGCCGCTTCTTTACCAGGTCTTCGATGTTTGACTAAACTATGTCTGAAGGAATAGCAGATTTCCAAGTACATGCAAAACAGCTTTCTCGAAATGATAGTGTTTTTTGAGGGTACGTTGTAAAACGAAAATGCAAGGCCCCCACGCTAGTTGCGACACGTATTTGAGACCATCCAGCATGGAACTACAATGTTGCAAGGGTCGCTTACAGCTGGAGTACCCGAAGGTCTCGCCAGCTTGTTTCTTGCCGGCCTTTCTTCCGCTGGCACATCCCATCAAACTCTATGCCGTTCTTAGGGGGGGGAATATGCAAAAGAGAAGGGGTAAATAGGGGTAAACTAGGCCTAGGGAGAGTTCAAATCCTGAATCTGGCTCAACCCTCATCCTGTTTGCTCACCCATGTGTCGCTAGGAGTTCAGGTTCCGGTACCACCCGCAAGGGTCCTCCTGAAAATACCACTTTAGTTGCTGGAAAATGGACATTGAGTAAATCATAACGTCTTCCCAATTGTGGTAAACATTGTCAGTCCCTCCGCATTCCTTCTGGAGAGAAAAACAAAGGAACCTCAGCTAGCTGACGAAAGGATGGGCCGACACCTATTCTTCTTCGGTTGCTTTCAGAACTAGCCTTTGTCAGGGCCAACAAATGCCCAAATCTCTGATTACAGCCACAAAGCAACTGAGCACCATTGTGAAAATGATCCAAAGTTACAACGTAGCCAAACGGATGGTGAGTGCACATTCCCGATGTTGCTGCTTCAATGAGAGCTCAGGAATGTTCAAGCCCTAGTTGATTTGCAAATACAGGGCCTTCATCATGGGTAAGCCCGTGTTCCCCCGAATCAATTACCAACTTGTGTCCAGGCGGATCCGAACAAATGTCGCGCGTCCTGATGGCGGAATCAAAGTTCACCCGGTCCATTGGCACTGGCCGGCAAGAGGCGGAGCGGCAAAGGAACAGAGCACCTCAGGGAAAGAGATGGAAAAAGAGGCGCAGTGACCCTGCTGGAAACAGGGAACTCCTTTGGAGTTGACCATTCGTAGATGTTCGGAACTCACCAAACAAAAAGGGAGAATGCCAGTGACACCTGGAAGGCAAATCATTCCAAGGCTGATTCTGTGCATCCATGAACCCAGGAGAAGCCATGCTGGGCCTCTTGGCACAAGTGGTTTCCCATGACTCATACAAACTTGTATCATTCATGGCTAACTATGGAGCAGCGCGCAAAAGCTCTTCAACCTGTGAACCAGGGTTGTGGCGCTCAATCGGATCCCGAGATGTTCAGCGGAGAGGTTGGACCCGCTTCTGATGAAACATTAGCGTGCTGTTGAAACGAGTCACGGGGACTTCGTGCTGACAAGCAAACAGCTAGGCGAGTGGGTCGATGGTCTCCTGGCCGAGCTCCTAGGCAAAAATGCCTGGCCATGGTTCCTGGCATAAGATACCTTCCTTTGCCAATTCTCAACTAATGATACATTGGAGCAACAAGAGCTTCAATATGGTGAGCTCGGTTTGCCACCAAGTCCTGAGTGAGTTCGGCATGAAATAGGCAATTGTGGAGGCCTCCCAAAAAGAAACCTTTAGCCCAAAAAAAAACCGAAGCTCATTGCGCCTATGAGGGCACTCAGGTTGTTGCAACAAGTGCTGACCAGCAGCCTTGTGTAGCGCTAACATGGGCGAGTTGGCTTTGACCTGCTGTAACAGGGTGGCACATGAACAACTTGCCCAAGAGAAATTGGCAAAACCGGTCAGCTTTAACTATGTTGAAGAAGTCCTATCTCAAGCCGGAGAATCTGTTGGACCATTTGGAGGGAAACCAGCATGAGACCAATGCGGATGGCGGCCCTCGAGATTTTATACAGACTCGACGATTGCATTGATGCAAATCCTGAAAAGGTTGAAGGCAAACGTAGCGTTGAAGTGTGGTTCAGTGAGGCTTTGGTTGACCAACTTGTTGAGTGTGGGGGACTATGGTTTGGATTGGTGCTGCCTTGGATAGCTCAAAGCCGAAGCGATGGTATTGACAACTTCCCAGCGGAGAATGGTACCAGCGGCGCAATTGCAATGATGTGAGGGTTGAACAAACGATGCGTCAGGGCGGCAAAAGGTAGGGTTGCACTCTGTAATCATTAAAAGTGACATCCTGAAAAACAGCAATGGGAATGGTGGCATCCTAAAAACCAGCAATGGGAATAGTGGTTCAAAGGCAAATCAGAAGTAACCTCGAGGATGTCTCACAATGTTCAATTCAGTGAACACAACAAAGTTTGTCACAGCGCAGCGCCTTGCCAAGAGTTGGTTGCCTTCAGCAGCGTGCCGTAGGTGATAGTGTTAGGCACTGTGGTCACCTGCAGGGAATCAAGTAAACCAACTGAAATAAGATCAACGTCCAATCCAATCCACTGATAAATCCAATCCGATACAATCCAATCACATCAAAGCAAGATGCAATCCATTGATCAACCAAGCCAAATAAAGACAATTCAGCTAAACAAACACTCAATCAAACAAGCAAACAAACAAACAAACAACAACAACAAAAAACACTTCTTTGCAAGCGGCTGCAAAATTCAAGTGGGTGTACCTTCAAGGCCTGCGACGGAGCAGGATTTCCAAGTTGAATTGTCACCCGGGCATCCTACAAACCAACACTAGGTCCTCCAGTAGAGAGGTTAGAATAAGGGTACCCGATTCTTTTGCTGTAGTCTCGTTGGGTAGGGTCCCGAACCCTCCCAAAAAAAAAGAAATGGTAAAAGGGCTCTACTGGGGGACCTGGAACATCTCCAGGGCTGTCGTTGAAATGGAATCCACGAACCTGTGATACGGCTTCCCACAAACGAACCCCCTCCATATTAGAAAGAGATTCCCAAAAGTATCACAGGAGTGGGGATTAACCCCACCCACAAACCTGAACATCTCGGATTCGGATCTGTTATTTTCTTCTGCCATCATCTTGAGTCAAGGGCCATGATACGGAAGATGTTCCCGAATGTTGACTCAGATGCTGATTTACCGATGAATCATTCGGGGTCTCTCTGAAAAACTGAATCACAGGCGGTCAGGTTACAAACCCCATGGTACGAGTAGGTGGCGTCACAATTGAGTATCGTTGTCCTGGCAGAAAAAGCTCAACTTGGAGGAAAACCTATCCACACCGTCCCAAGCCAAAACAACACAATGAAACAAGCACACAGCCCCTGGGCAAAAACAACACAACATGAACAACAACGCAGAGCGCAGCCCATGTTTCCCGTGGCATCCACTTCAGGCAAGTTCCCTCGACTTCCTCTGCTTTTGCCCCAAACCAAACGTCATGGTTTTATTCTGGTCCATAATGTCAACATTGGATACATGCCCTAAAACCAAAAAACCATCACTTTTGAAGGTGAATTTTTGGGATCCAAGACACCATTCTAAACTCTCACGCGGGCCTCCGGGACCACCCCGAATTGGGCACATGCAGAGCCATTGTCCTGTACCGAAAACAAATTCAATTCCAGCCCAATAAAAACTCCCCCCTACACCCAATACCCACTTTTTCCCCCTACTAAAAAAGGAGGTATTTACCATGGAAAACCAGGCTTTCCCAAAAATACCCTGAAAAAAGCGGGTATTTGGTGTGGGGGGTCTATAAAATTTCCTGATGTGCCTTCAATCCCGCAGCGCGCGGCCACCAGCTACCTTCTCACGCAGGGCACCTTCTCCCGGAACGCTTTTGATTTGAGGTTTGACCTTCTGGGGGGGGGGGGAAGGGGGGAAGGGGGGAAGGGGGGAAGGGGGGGAAGGGGGGGAAGGGGGGGAAGGGGGGAAGGGGGGGAAGGGGGGGAAGAACTATCGCTATGTTAACATTATTTAGTGAACTTACAATGTAAACAACACAATTAAACAAGCTCCCAGTCCTGGACAAAAACAACACAACATGAACAACAACGCAAACATGATTTAGTGAACCTGCAGTGTAAACAAGTGTCCAAAAGAGATCCCAAACTCCAACTTCGCCTGCCCCATGTGCCGCAGCAACTCCCAGGCAATGCGCCAGCGGAAGGTCAGGTTGAAGCTGACAGCGTCTGGGTTCAGCTGGCACTGGGGCAAGCTTCGCCTCGGCAGGACGCTTGGGCCTTTTGAGGATTTGAGCCTCCATTGGCTCAAGTCCCCTGGGGAGAAAAAAGTCATAGATTCCCTTTAAAATCAACAGGGAAAAACAACATATATTCTTAACCAAATGGAAGCGAGACAGCATCATACGGTTTTCTCTTGAGGGAACCATGCCCAGGGTCAAGAGAAGCAGGTTCTCACCTCCTTTCCAGCCAAATCCTTGGCATTTCAACCAGGTATTTCAACCAGGAGGGTTTGGGAATGAAGCGTTTGGGGTCCCCCGACCTACAGGAAGCCAACAGGGATGGCTCGGTGCAAAAAGATCTGTCCCTGAGAACCAGCATGAGTCCAAACATGTCCAAACCAAAACCTGCGGGTCTGCCCAAAACCCATGAACCCCGCTTCACAGACCATTTGACAGCTTTTCGGGGTGTACCCTGCAACAAAGGAGCATTCATGAGTTTGTCAATTTCTGCATTGTGTGCGCGTGTTGATTCTTTCGGCCCCGGGCTTCTAGAACCTCTCCAAGATCTTGCTGCAAAACGGGCGAAAAGGGCGCTTGCCCTTCGGCATCCCTTCAAAAAAACAACAACCCAGAGGGATATGGAGAGGAAGAACACAAAACTTTCCAGATTGGTACCATTTGGGTCGGTCTTGTTTGGGGGTACCCTGATTGGCGTTGCTTTGAAGGGAATCCCAAAAGGCTTCTTCTTTTTCCGGTGGTTCTACTAGTTGGAGACATACCCCATTTGAGGGAAAAACACCTTTTGGCTATGAAACAGCAATGGTTGACTCCAACAAGGGCGAAATATTAGGAGCCCTGCAGGCAGCCTCCAGCTTTTGGCCCATCGACAATGAGTAGCGGCGTCCTGACGATTCCCTTGATGCTTCGCAACTAGCAGCTCTCCTGGTGACTCAGTTCAGCCACTGCAAGGCCATGAAATCAACATGACATGCACCATTTTTCCCTTAAAGGAGGGTGCTCTCGGGGATATTGGCAACTGTGGTGAACCGCTGGTTGAACGTACTGCAGTCACCTCTCGTCCAGCGTACCCTTTCTCTAGATTCTCATTTTTCTGTCTCCGTCCCTCGCCTGCTGGTTGCAACAAGAGCAATTTCCGCGCCATAGCAAATCTCCCGGCCTGGGACTAGGGTATGCTTGGTTCCGAGTTTGCTGCCAAAAAACTTTAAATATCACCCCAAAAGAAAGCTGGCTGATAAATGCCCCACACAAAGGTGTTGAAACCATTGAACAAAGGAGGTAAACGCAAACACAACACATACACACGCACAAAAAACATATTGACACAAACACACACACACAAACAAGAACCACAACACAAGCACACACCAACAAAGAACACTCGAATGAACCAAGCACGAACCAACCTACAAACCATTGAACGAACGAAGAAACAAAAGAAGCAAACACATAAAGAAACAAACAACCAAACAAACATAGATAAATAAACGTGCAAAACAAATCACGAGACAAAAACAACTAAACAACTCAATCAAAAACCAAAAAATAAATAAACACACAACAATCGGCAACACGAACACACAACAAACAAACACAATAACACAACACAACACAACCAAAACAAACAAACAAACAAACCAACAAAAGTCATTCAATCAATCAAACAAATACACCAACAAACACCGGCAACACAAACACAAACAAACAAACAAGCAAACGTAAAAGCAAAAGCAAAAGCAAACGCAAGCAAGCAAGCAAGCAGGCAGGCAGGCAGGCAAGCAAGCAAGCAATCAAGCATACATGCACAAAATACACAAGCAAACGAAGAAAACAATATGCAACACATACAAACAATCAATCAAGCAAACAAAGAAACAAACAAGCAAGCAAACAAACAAAGAAAGAGACAAACACACAGGCAACACATGCAAACCAAAAAACAAGAAACACGCACCATATCAAGTAAGCACACAAACTACATAACACAACAACTCGCGCATCCAGGAGTTTGGTGTTCACCAAAACCGCGTTGCGAGTCGAGTGGCAAGGTTTGTAGGCACCAGCGCCACTGGGCACTGCGGGACAAGGCGTTGAGCAGCGAGTTGAAACTTACGAGGTCTGACCGGAGCGCCGCCTGACGGAAGAGGTTCTTCCTTGCCGAAGAAAACGTTCTTTCTCAAAAAAATGAGTTGGACATGACCCCGATGTGTTCCCAACACTCGTGACTCCTGACCAAGAACCAGCAAGCTTTCCGTCTGATTTGCCTGAAACAAAGTCATGTCAAAAAAACTGTTCCTGTCCATGGGCATGGCTCCCGTAATGAAACATCTCGTCATGGCTGTTCAAAGTTCCTAAAGGATGCACAGCCATCTCCAGCAAGCCCAGCAAAAGGGTGATCTAGCCATTGCAAATGTGGGTAGCATGTCCGGTTTTTGTTAGTTGCAATTCAGCACCCCAAACCCATGTCCTGACAATAGAGGTTAGCCGTCATTAGCAGTGAGAAGAACCCTCCCCTAATTTCGCCAGACCTCTTGTGGCCATTGGGAAAATGGCCACCTTTTTGGGTAGCTCACGCCTCCTTTTGACCTTTTGAAAGACTCCGGCACACCCAGAAGGAAACCACCAACACACAAAAAGGAGCAAATTGGCCTTGAGAAAAACGGGAATCCTTTTGTTGGCAGCTGACTTTCCAGGGAAACCCCTCCAAGCCAAAGAGCAAAACGACGCACCGGGAGATGTTCGGCCGCAAGAATCGATCGATGCCTGGGCCATGTCCGTCAGCAAGCGCAGTGCCTCTTGCCAGGCCGCGCATCGCTGCAGGCTTCGCAGTCGCAGATTGCAGCCGCGGGTATCCATCCAGATCGGAGATCCGGGGGGAGATCCGGGGAGATCTGGGGAGAGACCCGGACATGTCAAAATGCGGGAGTTGATTTTTGTTACTTTGATTCCTTTTTCCCTTTCAACATAAAGCCAAAGGTCCCAAAGGCCTTGCTTTCCTTGTGGCTGGCCTTTCGTTGACCCAGAACTCCTTGATTTCAACCCCTCAGACAATAGGCTATCTGGGCTGTTCACAACGGTGAGTTGGCCCAATCTCAATCCATATTCCTTGGTCTAGTGGGAAACCACAAAGGGAACCTTTTCGCGACCAAAGGGAGGGATTTTCGGATCTTTCAAATCCCCAGCGAAAAAGAGGCTTACGGAAGAGGCAGCCAAGTTCTTGCGATAAAAAATCCGCGACTTCGGGGGTTGCCGGCACGCAAAGATTTCTTCGTCTCAATGGCGCCAAAAAACCGCAGGAAAGCCCAGGTAAAGAACGTCCATGAGACGAGCTGAGAATCTCCGAGCCATGGGACGAGACATGACCTGGCAGTCTGGAGAAGTGTTGTGACTGGGCTTGCGTTTACGCACTCAGCCATGCAAAGCTACCGACACATGCAAAGCAGCCACTGTTTTCTCGTCCAACACCAGGCTTCCGTGGAACGCAGCACCTTCATGTCTATCATCGAGCCCTGCCCGTGGCCAGGCTCCTTGACGCAAGCCAAGGACTCAGAAGCACGAGGATCCCACCAGCCACGCTGAATTTCAACTCGATGGCGTCGACCTTCTCACTCTGTGCTTCGACCTTTGTGCTCAAACTGTCGACCTTCGCGTTGAGCTTCTCAGTCTGCGCGTTGAACTTCTCAGTCTGTGCATCGACCTTGCTTTCCAGGCGAACAATAGCCTGCTTGATATCGGAACTCCTTCGCGCTGTCGTTGTTGCCGTTGTGCACGGCCATGAAGGCGAGCGCGACCAAGGCGGTGAAAATGCTTGTGATAAACGTCTCAGGCGCCGAACGGATCCAGTTGCTCGCACCTGCTTCTGGTTGCCGTACCTAGCAGGCGCTGAAAACGTCTTTTGGCTTTCTTTTGCCTTTACAAGATCTTGGCAAACAAATCTGCCTTCTCCTGGATGTCTTCTTCGGTAGCCCGAAGTGCAACTCGCGTTGCGGGCTGCTGACTGGCACCACGAATGTCATTGCAGTGGCACTGAGCATGGCTAGGAGCAGCCTACGAGATCGAAACATAGCACGCGCTAGCGCAAGCGCGACCCAACCTGTAGCTGCAGACGGTGCGGTCGAAACAGTCATGGCCAGCAGACTGAAACCAAGTGCGCTCATAACACGGCACACTAGCCAGGGAGGTTCACAACAAGCGTGCCAGGCGCACCGGATGAATTCGACCATAAGCAAAGAGGGCGGCAAGTTGGGAACTGATAGTTGCAGTCTGAAGATTCGTGAGTGTATGGGTGCCCTTTGAGAATATTGATATGGATCAGTTTTGACTGACGGCAAGTGGACTGTGGAAGACTGTTGGGAGGTGCTTTGTGCATTGTCGGTTTGAAGGGTTGAATTCTTAGGTGGTTTGAGAAATGGGGTGAAAGTGTAGGGGGGAGTATAGGATGTGAGGTGTGGGGTCAGGGCGGTGCTTCGGATTTTGTTTTGTGCTTTGGGATTTTGGTGTTCTGTTGGGAAGTGCTTTGCGTTTTGGATTGTAATTGGGATTGCGGCGTGGGATTTGTTTAGGTGCTTTGGTTTTTGGATTGTGTCGTGGATAATTGTATTGGTTTTGGTGTGTTGCTTTGTTTCGGGATTATTGTATTGGTTTTTGGGAGGTGCTTTGTGTTTTGGTGTCTTGGGATACCTGGAGAAAGCACCTGAACATTGACCTGAGCCTTTCCCTGAACCGGAAAACGTGCGGAGCATACGGAGTATGGGACGGTGACAGGCAACCTGGCCCTTTGGCAAATTGCCTATCGTGCCGTGCTTGCCTTCCGCGGGTAACCAACGCAGCAAATCCAACAAGAGGTGCTTGTAACCCAACGGGTGTAAGCTGTGGTTGCTAAGCGAAGTGGCCTGCTCCTTCCAGCAGCTAAGCAGGTGATTGGCAGCCGGCGGAGTTTCCTCCGTGTCGCGAGAGATGCCATGGTGTCTATACAAGAAAGCCTTTCAGAAGAAAGGGGAAGTCGCTATCAAATCGGAGTTTCCTGCATATTCCCCCCAAGAACTACATGAAACTTCCTACTTCAATTGCAGGTTTTTGCTGGTGGCGTAGGCGCCAAACATGCTAGGGCGAGCTCCCCAAGGCAGAACGGGGAGAAGTGATGCTAAAAGTGATGCTCAAGACCTCCAAGAAACAAGGAATCGCTGCATCAATACCCCGGCCCCATTGCTCTCAAGTCTCTTGACCTCGCCACTGGTGACGTTCTGCCTTTGAAAGGCTGTGTTTCCCCAAAGTCGGCCTTGCTACCATAGGTCGACTCCCGATCCCACCCTGCCCCTTGGCGCACGGCCATAGTAGCCATAAAAGGGACGAGGCGCCTGTGCAGGTGAACAAGCTCAAGACACCTGCAAATATCCTCGATCCTCTGTTGCTTTGAAGCAAATACCCGTGTTTGTCTCGAAATGCAAATGGATGGTCCTCGTTTGGTTCCGTCTAAAAATTGACCCTATCTAGGGACAGTTTGAACAACTATGAATCCGCGACCCTCTGCCTCCCGTGGGTGCAACTGGAATGAAGTGATTGGAATCCATGATGATTTTTGGTCCCGAAAGCATGGATTCCCAGGACCGGTCCCGGACCGGTCCCGCGAACGGTCCCAGGACCGGTCCTGGGAACAGTCCTGGGACCGGTGCCAGGACCGGTCCCGGCCAGGACCGCTTTCAGGCCGTCCAACAAGCGGGATATCGGATCCCACTTCAAACCGCTCCAGACACCTGTTTCCTCCGCTATGTCGACTCGAACAGGACTGACCTCAAACCTGTTTCCGGACTGGCACGCGTGTTTCAGGACCGGACAGGGTCCCACCCGAGGGCACCGACGGCCTTGTTTCTAGGACCGCTCCCGGGTCGGCGTGACTTGGGCGCAAACCGGCCCGTGCGGTAATTGACGGACGAGCTGCTATCTTTCTGATTTTGCCGTTAATCCTTGTGGTAGTAGAGGATCCCTGGATCTATTCTGCAAGACGTCGATTCAAACCGCGCCAGACTAGGCCAGCCTGCACAGGGCCCCTGCCGGCGACCGGTCCAGGGCCCAGGGGCAGTTTCGGGAGGGCCAGCTTCGTGGTTCCTACCCGTGTTTCAGGACTGGTCCGTATGACTTTTCCCTTAATGCGCCGAGGGTCGGCGGCAGCAGGCGGGAGGCTGGTTAATCCAGCTACGCCTCCTGGGGTGCTAGCTTTAGCTATAGGGGCTGCACCCTGGTGCCGCCGACCCTCGCCGCTTGGTCGTGATGCGCTGCCTAAATCCGGCACCTCTGCATCACCAGCTCGGGCTTGCGGTTTTGCTCGCCTGTGGGAAACCCTTGCAAAACATCGCGTATATGCAGGGTTAAGGCCATGTGGCTGACATCATCAGGGTCTGGCGTTGGGCCTGGGTGATGCTTCAGCGGGGCTTGGTCTGCATCATCAAGACTTCCTTCCAAAAAGCCTCTCAACCCATGAAGCACTGTTTTTTAGAAGGTATCGGAGGGATATAAGCGAGGCTCATTTTTGCGCATTTTGGCGCCAAGCGCTGCCGGGCATGCCGGCGATGCTGGGACCTCGCTCTACAAAACGCTGTAAATACCGTCAAAAACTGCTGTGCTGAGCGGTTTGTTGTTGTTCTGTCCGTTTTGCTGTTGCTGTGGCTGGCTCGCGTGCTGCGCGTTGGTTTTCGGGCCTTCTGGCGCGCGCGCGCGCGACCCCAGCCACAAAACGCTACTATTTACGGTGTTTTGTTGCATTTGCGTTTCCGGGCTGGCTTGCGGGCTGCTCTTTTTGGGCTGCTTTTTCTGGGGCTTCTGGCGCGCGCGCGCAACCCCATGTTAGCCTTCTGGGTTGGGGCCCGGCTGGGGCCCAGAAAGCTGGCATCCCCTGCATCATCTGGGGTTGGGGCAACATGCGTAACCTGACCAACCATATCATAGCACATATGTTTCTCATACAAAAAACATGATATGACATGGCATAACTTCAAAGAGGCGTAGTTGGCTAGAGGCCGCAGGCCCAGAAAATACAGTTGGACCCCATACAAACTGGCCAGTTCCAGGTTGGCGCCCAACTCCTTGTGCCATACTGTTGAGCTCTCTAGTCGATTGGAGCTTTGTGGCCATCTGCGAGAAAAAGTCTGGTCATTGTCAGCGGGAGGCCCAATGGAACATGCAGGTAAAGTGGGCTGGCAGCTGGCCGAGGAACAACTGGGAACACATGAATTGAGCTGCAGGTAGCTCTCCTTTGCTTCAACAAATCCTTCCACAAAATATCGTAATGAACCGAGAAACTAGCCTCCATTAAGGTCCATCTCGGGCGGGCATTGAGGAATCCAACCAAGAGAACGCCTTAATCATGGGATCAATAAGTTGTTGCATTGTTATTACCCAGCAATGTTGGCATCTACCTCCTTCGTAAGCCTCTGATGTTGGAGCCTTACCAATGAATCATTCCCGGATCGGGGAGAGTCATAAAGAGCACTACGCAACGGGTCTGGGGAATAGCTGATGTTGTCCCTGACATCGTTCGCTTTACTTTTCTCTTCGGCCCCTGCAAAAGCTTCAACAGGACAAACCGGAGCATTGATCGCCATAAACGTTGTTGCCTGGCTAGATGAAACCACAGCATATGCATCTCTCATCTCAAAGAAGTCAAGGTATCCTGTTCCGAGCGGGGTCCTTCACGGGTGATCTCGTCGCCCCCAGTGTTTGGTGACAAGAATTTGTGCAGCATAGCCGTAGAAGCACCTTCAAAGACTGGGTGTGTGGGCCACAGAATGGCCCATTTGGAGCCATCGGTGCGCCCTT